GTACGAAGAACTGGTTCAATGTTTCAAATCTCAAAAATTATAAATGTTTCTTTAGTACACAACATTAGTGCAGATCAATTTTTTGAAATGTTTTCCCATAACAAAGAAAGCATACGCGCCTGTCTGACGCTGAATTAAAAAAGAAAAATAAATTTTATTCCAATGCACAAAATTTTATTTAATAAATAATTTCTTAACAAACATAAATACAGTAGTATAACAAAATTGTTGAAAATTTTGTGTTTTAAGAAGTTTTTTGAAAGTTTGCGGAAGTTCAATCGAAGTTGCTTGATCTTGAATTTTCTTAAACAACATTTTAAATGATTATAAAGTTTTTCTTGCACTTAGATGCTGTATATACATCGTGTTTGTCGGCGCAGGATTATATGAAGAGTAGTTTAGCTTTTTGTCATTTGTTATAAAACTTTTTGGCGACTATTTTGCGTTTTAAAGATATGGAGAATTCATGTGCGTTCGCATCGAAGAATTCGTGCCATACGAAAGTTGTGTACGAATTTCACGTTAATGGTGTAAGTTACGTAAAAAATAGGCATTACCAGTACTAGTCAATTTGTTATCCATTTGTTGTAGAGTTCGGTGAAAATGTCGGTTGTGGTCTGGAAATTGGTTTTAACTCCGGTAACCTAGCTTTATGAAGTACAATTTACTCATACAGCTAGATAACCAAAGAAAATATCAATTCCACTGGATCGGGCTAGAAAGTTACGTACTGAAGCGTCTAAATTAGGAGCGGTGAATTTTCCTCTAAACTGACCATGTGATATGCTAATAAGTTATACACACGCGTTAGTTAACACGACAGCTAAAGTTAGTTAACACGTGATCGAAGCTAAAATAAAATCCGATTGCGAGCTGTGCTCATCGTCGCGAATGCTCTCAAAGAACTGACCATTAAGGTAAAACAGGACGATCATGTAGGACATTTGGCTGGCTTTCCCCAACATCTACGTTACTTGAACAGTCAACAGTCGTCGAACTTGATCTAGCAACCAGTTTCCATGCCAAGCCCAACCTGTTTCGTATGCTGTTGGCCTACGTATCGGCAATGGCTGATCTTGACTCTCCTTTTTCTTGTTGTTCTTACTTAGCAAATTTACTGCCGCTTGGTCAACTCTTTCAGACACTTTACAGTCCTATACTTAAATCACGAAACCGCCAAAAATTCTGCATACAAATCTTTCTAGCCCGATTTCAAACCACCACCGAAACCTCAATCCAAACATCGGCACAAAATACTTTACACGCTTAATAAAGCTTTCGTCTTTTAAATATTAACTTGTTGAACTTAATACGTATAGAAATATACAGAACATCTTAATTTTGTCATCATCACCACTGGTTACGAGTTATTTTGCCAATTACAACCCTAAATCCCTATAACTTATATCACAAAGTTTAATATTTTCTTCTACAACATTTTGTCAGATTTTTTTTAACAAACTGTGAATATTATTAAATATATATAGTATTATGAATGCCTATCTAATAAGTTACCAAAAATGCATAGTTTTTACCATGTAGTAGGTAATACTTTAACGTTAATCTAAGATTTTATTGTTTTGTTCTTCTGTAGTCATTGCTTACAAAGCAGTGTACAGTTGTGCTATTTTTATTTACTTAATATTTTAACAGCTTTTGATTTTGGTTCTCTACCTACAACATGAAGAACGTTAGCCTCTAATGTAACTAAATTTATTCAGTTTTACGTACGAAAACGCAGCGAATCATCTATACGAGTGGCATGAACTACACTCACCTGAAATACGAAATCTCTTCATATTTTGAGCAAATTCAATTCAAAATTAATCAAAAAGTACAGAAGAATGTCTAAAAATGTTATACTTGGTGTTCTACAACATATTTTTGCTTTATCGTCTTTAAAACTATGAAAAATCGTGCATTTGTAAAAGAGAGATCAACGATGCGTTAAGCGAGTAACCCTCAGAAAATGTGAAATAAAATAGTATCGTTTAAAACGTATTAAGCGGGTGCCTGGCCATCAATAACAACGTTTTAAAAGAGAATACACACTATAATAACTCAAAGAAGAAGTTTCAATTGGTAATCATTTAGATTATTTCCAGTATTAATGAACTAAAGTTGAACAAATTGAAAAGAGAAGTCCAAAACTTATTACACCGGCAAAAGTAATGGATCAACAATTTATTACCATTAATAACGTTTACTTACGTTATGTAAATTTTTATTATGTGTATAACAATTACACAATTTTGTTCATAAAGTAAATATGCAGTCTTACGAAGCGATGTTGTAATATTTAAAAATATTTTGAGTGCTTAAATCGGCTGATTTTGTTTTATTTCTGCATGATTCGATGTAGAGTTCAAGAAAATAAGAAGATACCAGTTCTGAATTTTATTTCGTTGGTTTGAAGGAATTTGAAGTGTGAGATTTCAGTTATTTGTTGTAATAGTAATTCCACGTGTTACCGCGTCTAATGAGTAATTAGACGATGGCTATTTCTGTACTGGACAGACGTCGTTTTTTCTTTCTTGGCGTGAATGTTTCCTTTTGAATGAAGCATGAGAGACAAGACAAGATCGAATCGTCGTCAACGTAACGGCCTGTCGTTGGAACGTTCGAAGATTCGAAAGAGCCACGCAACCAAGGAGAAAGAAATTGTTTCAAAAGTTACCGGCTGGACGGTCGGTTGGCTAGCTGGGGCCGGCCAAAAGACAGAACCGATGAGCACGAGGTGCCCCCGGCGGTCCATAGCATCAGCCAGAGCTGAGAAGATCAAGAGTCTGCGTCATCAATTCGAACGTTTTACCCAAAGGCATTAACATAACCGGTCGGGCGAGTAAAACTTCATTCCATAGGGGCCAAGTTTAACCTCCCGCGCTAATACTACGACCAGGCGATGCTGGAGCACGACCCACGTCGCAGACAACCATTGTGAAAGATTCCGACTTCTCAGTTCAGGAATGTGACCAAATACAACGTTGACATGCCTCTCAACTTTATTATACATCTACGCCATTCATCCATATGAAACCACAAAATTTCAAACTCATATTCATTGAATTATTTCGGGAGGGGAGCTTTGAGCTTTCAATTTTTCTCACAGTATTTGTAATAATTATTAAGGGAGATGTCTGTTATTTTTCCACAATCGAAACATACTTGTAATAGTATAATTATGTTATTATTTACTGAACAAAAAGGAATATTCTATTATTTCACCTGTGGTGTCTGGGTTTAAATCTAGATACTCAAAAACTCTATTGCAAGCAACGAACCCCTAAAAAATCCTTCCTTATTAGCTAAATATTATTCAGAAACGTGAACATTAACAATTTAGTATTGTATCCTTTCGGATACAGAAAAGGTTTTACTTTACTACAACCCTAATGGAAAGAAAAAGTCAAAGTATTTTCAAATAAATTCAAATTGATAATTGTTATTCAAACTCGTAAAAATGCTGCATAAAAAACTTATGTAAGTACGGCAACGTTGTATCGGAGAACAGAGAGATGCTGCTGGTCCATTGCCGATTATAACCCACAATCCAAATCGAACAAGGAGCCCGAAACTCAAAAAGTTGGATAGAATGATTTATTACTTAATTATGCTCAATTTTAGATGTATTACCGATAGTAAGTCTTAATTTTTCAGAAAGGAAACAGAGAAAATTAAAAGAAAAATAGACTCGATTGTAAATAAATTCTTTATCTGTTTTAGGCAGTCGAATTTTCATCGATAACAGTAGNAAAGTTGGATAGAATGATTTATTACTTAATTATGCTCAATTTTAGATGTATTACCGATAGTAAGTCTTAATTTTTCAGAAAGGAAACAGAGAAAATTAAAAGAAAAATAGACTCGATTGTAAATAAATTCTTTATCTGTTTTAGGCAGTCGAATTTTCATCGATAACAGTAGGTAATTTTTGGTATTTTGAAACTCTCTGAAAGTTTAATAATGTATGAGATACTATTACTTCCTAACTTATAATATCTCTTCTAGGACTACTTTCTCTAAATTCCTTTTGTAACAGCTTTTTAGTATAAATGTTCAGTGGACTTTGCAAAAACTGAATAAGTGTGCAATTAAAAAAAGCAACTTAATTCTAAATCAGCTAAATATATTTTATAATTATTACACGCATATTAGGACCAATTATTATTTAAGTACTTGATACAAAAGGGAGAGTAAACAGGCTTACTAAAGTGATATTAAAATGATTTGATTATTAAGAATTTCGAGCTAACCAATTTTATACCACAGTTTAACGTTAATAGATTGCTACGAATATTGGAAAAGCATCTTATTATTGTCGGACGACGTAAAGTTCAGCAGAGAATTTGTTTCAATACGATTTTCCCTACTTGATACTCAAAAATGAATCACAAGAAACAATTAGACAACTCATAAATCGGTCTTAACAACATCAACAAATACTTACACATCTTTAGGTACCACATACCTGTTGTTAAGACATTATCCGTACCTACATAATTGAACTTCATTTAATGTATTCATTTATCTATACGTAATTAGGACATTTTAATATACGACATATGTAAAATATAAACTTCCCCTATTTAATTATAAAATGATAAAGTCAATTCTTTGTTACATTTCGAAACATACGGTTAAATATGATAATTTTTACTAATTAAGCAAACGATATAATTAAAATAGTTTCTTCTACGGTACTAAATAATACGATTAAGTGTTGATCAATATTGGGGTTGAAATAGCGTAAAATTTTGTCTTATGTCCGGCGCATTCACCATTTCTGTAAATTAGTTCTTATTTAAATATCTTAATTTATTTTATATAAATAAGGCACAAACATACATAATTCGTTCATTTAGGATTCGTTTACCTTTTTATCGCCTGCACTAAACATAGAAATTTTGATATCCAATTGCACTTTTATTAATAAAAGTCGCTTAAGATCGAGAAATACATATACATGTATTATATACCTATCATATTAAAATATAAAAATGCCTATGTGATACTTATAGGTCTGAAATCTTATTTTAAAGTTTTACGAAACCGTATAATACTCGTGACGTTAAGACGCTGCTGCAATTGGCCACAATTCGTTAGCTTTTTTGCTCGGAGAGCTTTCAAACTACGGCTTCTTTATATGAGGATTAACTCGCTGACCTTGGCTGTTACTGAAGACCAAAACTAAAGAGTTCTTCGCATATTAGCAAATGCTATTCATTGTCATACGAGAAAAAGGCAACGAAGACAGACACATTTACGAGTCTGAACAGGGTGCGAATTTCCTACGGGAAAAGTCTAAAGAATGAAACAAGGAAACAACCGAATAAAGATAATAATATTGAAGAGGTCTGTTTCTAATTGTAGATAAGGGTTGTTTTCGGTTAAGCTAATGATTTTTACGTTGCACCGAATAAAATGTGGGGCAGTTGTAGGGTCTTGTATGTAATCAGATTTGAACGGTGGCGTCGGCGTCTACGACGCCATCAAGAAAAGGGATTTCTACAGGAATATATTATTATGTTAAAGGTAGCCGAGCGATAGCGAATTTGTCCGACCAAAAATAAGGGTAACAGCTGTAGGAATATAGGGAGTGAAAGCTCGAGGAAGATGCTGCTGGGACTTGGGGTGGCAGCAGTAGCAGTAGATTTAAGCTCGCGCTAGGGGTACGTTTCAAAACGCGTTCAACAATGGGGCACACCAGTAGTACAACTGACAATTTTTCAAACGGCTGATTTCAAACTAATAAAGCAGGCACTATTTTTTTTATTGTTACATACATAGGTACCCCAAAATAATAAATTAAATAATTCTATAATGGATTATCTAACAAGTTTTTACGGATGTGTATTTTTTATGGGGTTAATGGGCAATGGATGTTTAGTTTTGATGTTGTGCTGCGGACGGGGGGCTCGGATGAGAAGCCCCCTTCTATTGGGCCTAGTATTTGCCGATTTATTTGTCTGTTGCCTCAGTGGACCCATCACTGCTGCCAGATACGTTATTACTACTTGGACACAACCTTGGGAACGACTGGCGATATTCATGCAGGTAAATAAATAAACTTTTTTCTAAAGTTTTACTCTCTATTATAACCAAAACTATTTAAAATCTTCTAAACTTTTACACGTTTATATGCAGGATTCTAAAAAAAATATTCTTCAACAGGTTTTGTACAAAGGCGTTATGTATATTTATCGGTAACACGTGCTGATGTAGTTTTCACCCCTAAATTAGTAGGGCCTTTAATAACATCAAACCTTACTTAGGTTGGTACAGCGAAAAAACGTTTAATTTAAGTTAAGTTTAACATTTAATTTAAGTGCGGAAATAGATTCAAATTAAATTTAAAAAATAATTTAAGTATAAGTTCTTATTTTATGTAGGTACTCATGTAATAATTCAATGAATTACTTTTTATCCTTAAATGGTGTAAGGACGATTGTTTTGCCTGAATTTATTTACTGTTTCAATCTAACGATAATAATTGGTAAAATATTCAAACACTGTGTCATTGTTAAACTTAAACGTTTACAAATCTAATTAGTAAATATTTAGCGGTGCTTTGGTACAAAAATGGGAGCTAATATTGTATTATTTATTTTTAAAAATTTTGATTGTATTTTTAATGGTAAAAGTAGCTACAAAACTAATAGTAGAAAGTTTTAGTAATAATTTAATGTTACTAACGAAAGACAGGCACGAGGTTTTAAATTGAAATTTTGTGAATTAGAGCGAATTCCAATCAACACAGAAACGTAAACAAACATAAAGTGCAATATCAACGTTTGTTAGATAACCAAATAATTACAATTTAATTGCCAATGCGACTGGAATCAATAACTGAATGACCCGTCTGCTGTAACAAAAGGGTAAATAAGTTTGTTACATATTTCAGTAGTTGGGATAACAAAATTGTTTAATTTTGTTACAATAATATCTTTGTAAAAGTATTTCAAACAGTCTAATTTTGAGTATTTTTCATTAATAACAGTTGGAAAAGTATTTAATCGAAGTTCAGAATATACGTAATTTCCACAATTTTCTTTCGAGTTGTTCGAAAGAAAATCCATAACAAAATAACATCTGCACATTTCCACGTATGTTAGAGATAATAATAACTTCTATTTATACGTATCTTTCTATATATCTTTGACTTAACATATCCGATTTTCGTAAGCCTATTGGATATTTCAAATTAAATCCTTAGCAGCGTCGATTGAAATCGCTGAAATTTTCCGATTGCTATATCAAGGATTACTAAGAATCCTTGCACAAACTAATTAAATTTGCAGAATCTAATTACCTATATGTAACTGAAAAGTGTTTTTTTTTATTTTATCAGGAATGGCCAGTTTCGGTAAGCACGTTATCAATGATGGCTCTTTCGGTGGATCGCTACTTTACAGTAAAAAACTACAGACCAGCACGACAAGTTGTTCAAAGACGAAATCTTCTGTTGTCTGCAGTAATATTTACGTGGGTGTCTTCAGCAGCCATTTCGAGTCTTCAGGTGTTTCAAAAGATTTCATGGAAAAGAGTTATGGTGATCGCTAAAATAATCGTGGTACATTTGATACCAGCTTGTGTGGTTTTTGCCAGTCATTTAGGTGTTCATGCAAAACTTACTGCTTTATCCCTTACAGCCCGAGCCAAACATGGGGAACTACCCCTTCCTATGCCCCTTCTCAGGCGACCAACAAATGTTATTATTGTAGCTGGAATTTCCAACAAACCGAACGAACCGGTACGTACAAAACTGAATGGAAAATGTTCAAAAAATTCATTTCTACTGTTTTCTAGTCTGTCAAAAAATCTATTTTAGTTGGTACAATACTGCTTATTAACTGGAGGAATAATTTTGTTTGTTAACTCACTTGGGTACATAAGCTCAATTCTTTCGATGAGAGCTTTCTCATTTTTTCTCACCGATACAGATTTGTAATCAAAACTAGTTTTCAAAGCATGAAATTACTTTTTCAAACTCGGTACAACATGAATTAAATGCATGTTTCGTAGGGTCATGTCAGAACTATATTTGATTAAAACAAAAGCGACGAAATGGGGAATTAGTTTTCGATTTCCTTGAAACTTTAATACGTTGTGTAGTTCGGAATACTGACGAAATTAATCAACAAAAACTAAATTAGATTAGCGTAAGGTTGGGTCAGGTTACCTTACTACCTTTTTTCGAACCTAGAAAGCTATTTGAAAAGACGATTATGTTCGGCGTGTTGAACTCCATTCGTTTCTAAATCACTAAAATTATCTGATGTGCAATTGGGTAATAGGAAATATTTATTCATTTCACGTTGAAGCCAAGCATCAATTTTTTACTTCAGCAACGGGCGAAAATTGTATTTTTTATTTTCTTGAAATTTTCACATTTTCTCTTATGTTTATACTGAAAAAAGGCCATGATACTAAAACGCTGTTTTTACCGTAAACTCGCGCCCGACTTAATGTAAGAAGCGAGTATTGATCCCTTTTTTATTTAGATTGGAAAGAAAATTTTCTAGATGCATTTTAAACATCTCGATTCACAGGCTTTAAACAAGCTTGCGAAAACGTCGTCAAACCAAACACCATCATTACAGAAATCACTTATACTATTATTGTAATAATGACTTCAAATAATTTCTCACTTACCCGTAGAAATTTCCTTAGTTCATGCTAAAGAGCCCTGGCATTCTTCTATCCTAACGAAAGATTTTTAATGTACTAATCGTTTTTAAAACATCGATATTAAGTAAGCATAATCTCATCATAAAACCGCGCATTGATTTGTAAATATTTCAATATCTACCTGTTAAAAATTTATAGTTTTTCCGGAAAATGTACCTCACTGTAGTCACATTTGTTAAAGCACACCTTTTATCCGATATTCTTAGCATACAACTAATAATGTAGTCTGAATGCTATCGTTGTGTCCTTTCTGTCTGCACATTTTTAGATAACATTGTTTGCTTCGGCAGATATTACAATGCCACTGTTACGTGTTTAATGGTCTGTTAAATAAAATAAAAGAGGGAAGTTTGATACGTAAAATTTATAAGTAATTCCAAAAACTTTCTCACAGGCGTCCAGTAAAGCAATTCGGAAAAAAGATGTGGACGACGGCGATAGCAACGACGAACAGCCTATGAAAAGTACATTGCGAAGTAGACGAAAATTGGCTAATGCCCTATTGTTCATGGCGACTTTATTTGCCTGCTGCTGGCTGCCACATGTCGTCTGTTTAATTTGTACCGAATTGAATGTGTCTCCGACGATACTTGTACAACGTTACAGCTTGTTCCTTGGCCATGCACATTCGGCTCTGAGTCCAATTTTCTATTGGATTTTAAATCACAGATGGCTGATTCCTCCATGTAAAATTCGATTTCCAGCTTCCAACAGGCACATGGCATCCTCAACGAACGAGGCCGCCCTGGGGCCCTTCAATCCGCGTTTTGTAAGGCCTCCACATCAAGCGCGACGATGTTCGTCTCATTATCTTTATTGACTGTGATATCTCCATTTAACGAGATAACTATCTCAGGGTGATAATATTTTCATGTCGGCTATTTTTTCATCTTTTCACGGCCTTTGTCACCGTTGGTAGAGTTCTATTGATTAATTGTTGAAAAAATATTAACTGAACCTCAATAAATGAAAGCAAATTGAAAACCTCCAAAGGGTCCGAAATTACCTAAAATGTACCTTTAGGTACATTCAAAGCATTTACAGGATGTCACAAAAAATAAAACCAAACTAATATGATCCTTCAAAACTTAATGGCTTTCGCTTATTGAGGTTTTACAAAAAGTATTTCGGATTTTGGATTTATAAAAATATGATCCTTACGGAGGAAAATAAAAAATGGCCTAAATTTTATTTACAATACTAATAATGAGCGAATCGCAAAACATAAAAGGTTACATGCAGGACTCTACCAAATCAATACCAAAAAATTTCGTAAGGCCTTGGGAGATTTGCCCTTAATATGAAATAGCAATATAATTTAGTAATACAATTGGCACAGAACTAAATGCGCACAAAACAATTTAACTGCATTGTTTTAAAAGGTAATAAAATGTTTAAATTGTTTCATCCTTTTTATAATTGATCGGTAAATATTTATTGATTTTTGGTGGTTTTTGCCGATTTGTTTTAAGAGGGACGATCTCGTTCGTGTTTTTATTTATTGTATATTTAGATTGAAAAGTTAGTTGCATTTCATTTATTCCACAAACCGCAATTTTTTGATAATTTTATTGCACTGAAACTGATAGATATGGCCTACAATAAAATACAAAAGTGTAGCTTTTGGTAATTTATAATAAGTTATATTTTTATACAGGCTCCTTCATTATCACTGTTAAAAATTTTGCAAAAGATACCATATCACTTTGTAAATTAAAATAAGTATAATAAATAACAATAACGGTTAATACTATTAAAAGTCATCATAAACATTGACAACATGTTGCTAAATAATTTTTAGATTTTAGAAAGCTTTTCGTTTATTTGTGTGTTTCTAAAAACATTTTATACGTTTAATATTCAAGTGTTTGCAACATGATGTAGGTACCAATGTATTTTGCATTTTATTGGAATTTGAACAGTTAAATTTTAATTACTAGATGCATATTTACTCATATGCTACGATGACTTTCAATTTTGTTAACTTTCGAATTAGCTAAAAATTTTTAATTTAAAAACTCAGCTAGTCGTTAAATTAAACTGTTTTAATTAAACCTAAATACCAAAAATTCAAAGAAAAAGGACAAAAATAAACATGTATGTATATGTATTTCAAATTAATTTCGAAATGTTTTGCTTAGAACTACAGTAGACAAAACTTTTCCACTGTAATATGCTTTTCCTGATTAAGTGTTTAATGTTAATTCTTAATCATATATAAAGTATAATTCTATTTCTTTAAAAAACTACTCTAGTCATAATAGCCATTTATTGTTTTCTGAAAGGTGTTTTTAACCATTTAAATTATATCTTTTCCTTATAATCAACAATATACAGTGACTATACTTCTGACACACCTTTTTTCACATTTTGAATAATTAAAAAATATTTTTTTCCAAGAATTACTTGATAAATGTTATTAACATTAAATCATATAAACTATAAAACAAAAATTGATACCTTGGTCACTTTGTATATTGCTAATACCTACAGGCCTTCGCAAAACAATAAAGAATAAATGTTATTAACTTAACTTAACAATTAGTTGTTTAGAAATTTAATATATTAATCCTGAAGAACAAAGTTAATTAATGGTTCCTTAAACTTTTTGAATGTTGTTCCTTATTGTTGTTACTTGTTCGTTTTCGTAAGTTACTAAGAGAAGGACAAAATGGCACCAAAAAGTAATGTGCCACCTATAAGTATGAGCTGTAAGGATTGTAAAATATTGACTTTCTATTTATGTACCTTTTCTAATTCTGTATAGAGTATTTATATAATTTTAAGTTTGTTTTGTTTTAAACTCGGAAGGCAAAGCAAAAATAATTAGTAAAATCATCAATTATCAGGTTTTTAACGCCAAAGTATATAAGAATCAATAACGGTCAAATACTGTAAAGAAACAAATCAATTACATGCATGGTTTTAAAAAATATAGTCGTTGTCGAGCTAAGGTTTAAGAAATTTAAGTTAAAAATATAATTGTGGAGGTTCGTAGACCAATTTTCCTGGACTAATTTTAAATGCTAAGGTGTTGTTAGTAGGTAAGTACGTACTAGTGGTAGCGATATCGAAAGCCACTAGTATGTACCACAATAATGTGCTTAATGGCGACTGTCTCTTGAATAAATAAATAATGAAGCTTTGGACTATTGTAAGTCCTACATTTGCTACCTAGAAATGACGATTTAAAGACTTACTGTTACCTAAAACTAAAATCATTGGCGTATTATTACGCATTCTGTATATAATCAAATGGGGGTTTTCTCATGGAAAAATCTGCACGTGCCTTTCTCTCTATTGTATAACAATGAAAAAGTTCTTCTATTTCTCTATATAACGTGTTGTAAAATGTGTAGAAATAAGTTGTGACTCTTTTTTTCTCGTTGAATCTGTTGAAATGAAATAAATGTTGATTCCGTACCATTCTGATGTTACCATTTTCGAATGTCCCTGCCTAAAACGTATCTTACCCTTTAAGAAACCAAAAAGTTCGTTTTATACAGTTTATTAAAATTTATAAGAAGGAAGAACTCTAATTTAAATATAGTTCATCTATATAACAATTAATTGTGCAAATTATATTTTTTATCTATTAACATCCTTGTTGTTTCATATAGACAATTTACTAGAAATTGTCGATAATTATTTATTTTGTTACGAACAAACAAACTTTTTCCGATTAAAAACCCATACAAATAAACAAGGCACAACGATTTTGCAACAACAAATCATATTTAAATTCTTATATGGAAAGTGGATAAGAAATCAGGAGCTCTGGTAATCACATGTTCAAATTCCATGAATGATAACTTGCTGTCACCATCTACATCTGCTTCTTCAATAACTTTTTCTATAATTTGTTGCATTTCTTCATTAGTTAGTTCTTCCCTTGTTAGTAGTCGTAGCGTTTGATCTAAATCTTCTTGACCAATGTGCTGATCCCCGTCGAAGTCTTAAAGAAGCAAAAAAGTACCTTTTAGGTATTTGAATTTAAAAAAAAAACTAAGACCGAACACATACCGTATATGCGAAAAGCATAGTAGACCTTTATATCTCTAGGTGCTTGCTCACTAAAAACTGATAACAAATCTAAAAAATCTTCAAACGACAGATCACCTTTCCCGTCCCTTGAAAACAGCTCACAAATTCGTCGTCTGAAGGGATTTTCCTGAAGTTTTTGAATACCGAAAGAAGACACGAAAAATATGAAATGTTTGATTATTTCTTACTCTTAACTCTGGTAATTTCTCCATACTTTCTAAAGGAATTCGAACAGTCATAGACTGATTTTCGGTCATGCGGCTTGGTACAAGTTGCGGATCTACTTCTCGGAATTTCTTGAACACTCTAACGAAAAATCAAATCCTATCCATCAGGTTATCGTAATCATTAAAACCTTACCTCAATATTTCCTTTCGCGTGAAAAAAGTACAGTCCTTGAAAAAAACAAAATAAAGTACTACTTACACGAAAATCAAGCATCAACCACCGTACCTGATAATTTTCTAACTGTTGTTCGGTAAATGTTATTAATTTGTTGCCCATTGTGTGACATAGCGAAAATGAGAAGTGTAGAATTGCAATTTTCAAACAAGAACTACACTCATTGTGTCACATGCGTCAGCCTACAAGGGTGCGGCAACAAGTTTGCAATTTGTATTGATTCCACCCCAAAGCATGGGGGTGGAAAGTGAAACCGGTCTGCGAAAAAATAGTACACACAAGTACAATCAAATTAACCTAACAGCTACATAAAATGAAATGCTAATTAAAAGTGATACGCCAGAATCAATATTACCTATCTGTGACAAATACGGTTCTGTAATGAAAAACAATTAATAATTATTTTTTGTTGACTGACACTACAATTTCAAAGAAGACGAGTTAGCGGTAAATCACTGAAAAATAAATATTTATTTAGATACCAAAACGAGATGGGTTGAAAATTATTTATTTCAATCAATATCTCTCTTAATTACTGCAAAAACGGTATAAGGCGATACATTTAATGAAGCACACTGTTTAGAAATTTGTTTGAGTGTAATGTCTCGGATAAATGGCACAATTTCCACGAAAATTTATGGGGACTTTACGATAAATTTTCCAATTTTCTTGGTATAATTGATGTTGACATAACTAAAGCAGGATTTGCCACAGCAATTATATTGTCCCCACTTGCAGCTATTACTTGAATATTTGGCGACATCTTGTTGTGATCGTTTCGTATTTCGGCGTCCTTCTTGTCTTCGCCCGTCTAAAACGAATTAAAGTTTAAATAGGTCAAAGGCGCTTTAGGAAAAGAAAAGCTTTTTTAAATTTATGGCGCACATTCCGGTTTTTAATTAAGCAGATTAAAGGTTTTTATTGAGATTTAAGCCGAGTGCCTTCGTTATTCGCTGAATTTTTATTTTTTAACATCTTACGGTCCCCTTTTTCCGATCGCTATTCGACCACAAAGATTTACAAAAAAATAATTGGATGAAGTACCTGATTGCTATCATTTCCTGTTAATGTATTATCGTTATCATTGTCAGTTACCTGGGGAAAAAAGGGAAATATGCCAATTTTAAACTAACTTATCTCCTTAATGCCATTACCTGTACTGGAGAACTGCAATTGCTATAAACAAAAGAATTTTCTAAACTGTCTTCGTTTTCTGTAGAGGAAACGTTTCGACCTCCACTGTCCCTAAAACATTCCAATTAAAACTGCATGTTTATTATACAGACGTGGCGTACTGATGAGATCAAATAAGATTGAAATTGCGATTTACTGACTCAATAGATTCTTATTCAACTTACTTTAAATTATTGTTCTTTGAATGATGTTGAAAAAAGAGTCTTATAGGTGACTGGGCTAAGCACGCTTCGTGGTTATCCTGAAACTGTAAATATATTTAAATACGTCCCTGCGTGATTATTATCTATACTGTAAAACGAGAAGCCTGTAATTACTCTCAAAGCAGCTGCAATTAATTAAGATATAATTAAAGATTAAACAAGGAAGATATGAAAATATGAAAAGGACAGCGCTGTATTCAGGATTCTGCTTTTTAATTACGAAAAAGTTAGTTAATGCTAGGAAAAATACTAATATTCACTCTTACCTCTGATCTTCTTCAAAATGCATGCCAACTTAAAGAAGTTTAATTAGTAGATCTAAAAGCGAACTTACCGTTTCGAAAACTAATGCCTGCAAATAAGCCGAAGTAAAAAAGCACATCAAATTAAAAAGCTTAGGACACCAAAGCCATGTTATCTGTTTTTGATTTTACATATATATATATATATATACAATAGAAAAAATGCTTTAACTAAAAAAGACCTTTGTATATCTTTTGGCTTGGAACTACCAGCAGTTTTTCATCCGAATAATTCCAAACCAAAAATTAAAAAACCTTTTGTTATAGCGACTAGAAAATAATTATTACATTTCTTATAAAAGTTGCTTGTAAACCATTTCTATAGGTTAGTTAAGTATAATTTTTTTTGAGTAAAAAGCCAAGAAGCAATATTATGTTTGTATGCTATATGACCTTATAAGTTTTCATAATAAGTTTTTTGTTCACTGCAAAATTAGGTTTCTGTTCTAATAACTACTGTCTGCAGTGTATCCCTCCCCGCCTTAGTCCTGTTTTATACTGAAGTGGTGAAGATTAAAGCTAAGGACATTTGTCGTCCCTCGGTAGCACCCAGGGCGAACCACCACCTTGTATTTATGTCACTAACTTTTCGTTAGTATAGAAATGGTAAACAAGAAATTTTACTTATAGCTTGTATATACGGGGTGTCTTATTTTCAATATCTTTTGTAAAGTAAATAAATTTTCTTCAATTGCTTCTTAGTTTTGATTAGATATTAGTTATTGCTCGTTTAAATATGTCTCTTATGATAAATTAAATATTATAATTTGAAAATTAAATTGCGATATATAGTACGATCGAAAAAGGACAAGTATCAATAAGGTCCAGTCTCCATGCTAAAATAAATAAGATTTATATTCGAAAAATATTAGGCTACCTGCCTGATAAAAAAACATAATATAATGATATATAAGCTCAAGTTGATATGTAAATTATTTCAAATTTGTGCACTTTTTTTTTTACCTTTAGAGAAAATGTATAAAATACATCCCCAAAATAATTCTTCATTATTTTGCAGCGAAAATTGGGTCATATTGATATCCGTCCTTCGAAAACTAAACTATTCTCTAAGCTTTATTGCCAATAAGAAACAATTATTTGATATTCTCGATAAATAGGAATACCTTTTAATGTTCACTACAAAGTAGTAGTACAACTGTTTTGGCCTGTTGAGACTTGTGAAGGTAACTCTTCACGAAAGCTCAACAACTGTAGAGTAAAAGCTCCAATATGGTGAACATTAAAAGCAATATTTCGTCGTTAAATTTATGTATATATTTAAATAATATTTTATTTCACAAACAACCGACTCTAGATTAATTAAATATTATAAATAATTTCAATTGAAATTATTATAAAGATTGCTTTGTGTTGTAAAAATCGTAAAGACACCCTGTATAGTAAATGCTAAAATATTTAAGAAAAAATATCACCTGTGTATTATATTATACATTATAAGCAAATATGCGAAGCTTATTTTTAGCGGTAAGCAGTTATACGTGTGTGCTTTTTTAGTCAGTTAAGTTAATTACGATTTTTGAAAAATTCGCTGCATCAAAACCCCCTGCTGATCCAGTATTGCTGTACGACGAATTGGATAAATCTGATTTTCCATCAATATCCAACTTTATTTTTTTATCGACTGACTGTTCACTTTCGGAAAGTGAATGTTTTAAACCGATTTTCATTCCATGTTGCGTTTCCGAAATTTCGCCGTAAAATTTATTTGAAATTGACGAAGAAACGCTAGGAGAAAAGAGAATGTAATTTTTAAGTTCAAAAACTTATGTATGTATTAACAAACGCATGATATAGTTGAGGCATTCAAAATTGGCATAGTCCACAATAAAACTGTGGCATTTATTTTCTTCTTTCAACTTATTAATCAGACTAGTGCGGTTGCTGATAGACGACTACTTTTACATATCTTATATATAGAAAAGAGATGTCAGATAGGAACTGCAGCGAGCACTAATAAAGAAAACGGAGTAACATTAAACCAATTAATATGTAACAGAAAGAGATGCAGACAGGCAGAATTTGAGCATGTTGCTGGAACCGCTTGTCTAAAGATATAATTCCAACTAGACAGTTATAAAGCCGACCATGATCTTTTGCACACCCTTAGCAACCCCTAACCGCTGCACTGCTTACTACTATTCAGTTATCTCTTTCTATTTTGTCTGTTCTCCTCATGAAGCATTTCCTATCTTCCTATATCCTAACAAGGACGTGTTCAAAACGCTGCAAATGACTACACTCCCAAGTGGAGACAAGAAACAAGATAATTTATTGGGGTCTTTGCCAATTTTGATCGTCCGAACTATAATTATCTTAATAGCAGCAACAACAGAAAATATTTCGATATAAAAATTTGATTTTGACTAATTGTGAACGATGACAAGGATCATTACTCGTACAGTACTTACTGAGTTTTGGAATAATTTAAACCAGATTCTTTGACTATTTGTCTGGCTAAAGGAAACAGTTCATCCCTTCTTGTAAGCAAACTTGGTACAAATCTACAAATTTGAGCAGCAGCTTCGTTTACTGATACTTCATGTAATGTTAGTTGCTTTTCAGGTTTTCTTTTACAGTCAAATCTGCCATAAATAGCAGCATACCGTCTAATTTCTTCCATTCTTTTTGGATCATGTTCAGACATCGACATAACCAGCTAAAAGATTTTTTAACTTATCTTTTCTTTCTGTATTCAGTATGAAAGAGAATTTCTTACATCGAGTTCTTTACACATTTTCTTTTTATTACTAAACGGTTTGGGTTCAACTTGTGGCAACTGTTTGCTTATTTTTTCTGCAGCTGCGGCAATTTTGGCAATTTGAAGTTCCGTTAAAGTGGGAATGATGTTAACTGATGATGAACTTGCACCAGGACTCGAACTAGAAGACGGCGGACAAGATGGTCCATCGAGAGGCGAATAAGGCCTACAATTTTTCTCGATAAACCTATGTATACATTCAAACCACGGAGTCCTCATACCTTTTAGACATTATGTGAAGACTAGAATTAGCAGTTGTTGGCAAAGAAGAGGATTCTCCACTTATAGGAATTGTATATGGTATTTTATTTGTTTCTTGATTACTTGCTTCTATAGTGCTTTGGTATCCATAATTGCTGGATATTCTTGGACTTGATATTTCGACATCGAAATCTTCTCCAGGTATGAGGGGAGTTTTGAACTTATTAGGATTTGAAACCCATTCTTGAAGAGACTTCTGAAGCCTTCTAACGTGCAAGGGTTTTGATGCCATACCTACCAACGACATTATCTCCAAGAACTCTTCTTCACCAGCGTCACAAAGCTGATGGACATCATCGCCACCCATTTCTAACAATGTGTCGTAGTAGAATAGTAGAGATGCGTTTTGCATCACACGAAAAAGTTGAAGTTCAGCGAGATTGGATGGGTAGGACGTCGGATAAACTGGAAAGAGAATCTTCAGTGAAGATCTAGATATGTATTTGTAACATAATGTTCAGTAAAACTTTAAATGGAAAAGATTGCGAAAAGCAATGGTCACATTTCATAGTAAAAAATTTAGAATTTGATTTGTTAACAGGTCTTCTGGAGATGTGGGTATTGAACAATGGGAAATTGGATTGAAAATTTGGCCATACGTATAAGTATAATGTAGGGCGTTAGTTTTTTATTCTTTGTTAGATTCAGCTGTCCATTGGAATATGAACCAGTCGGACTGTTGTGTTTGTTATCTTCCGTCTTGTTCCCATTATTGTTTATTATACTCTTCTTCATTGTGCCTCATTACAATCAACGTACGAACCCTTTTTGTACACGCTTATACGCTTGCTTGTACGTTGCTACCTGATGAATGTACCCAAAGGTGTAATACGCACGCAATTGGTAGCGACTCGACCAAACATCGACGTGAATAAATTAAGCGGGTCTTCTGTTATTTTTTGTTGACCACAAAAAGTGCAGAACGCAGTCTGCGAGTGTGAGAAAACCAAAGGGGTGATCTCTTCCGTAAGTCTGTAAAAGAAAAAACGGAATACCTGACCTTTTTTATAGTGGGTGCTCCGTTGAAATAAAGGACCTCTCTCTTGACCGTGTCTCTGAATATTAAGTAGACTACCCCATACGTGTACGTGATTTTTTTTCGGCAGTTCACACGAAACTTAGCGCAATGTCCCCTTATTATTAAAACGATCAAGTAATCTTGTTTTTTTATACATTAACCAACCAAAGCATCTGCCACATGTAGAACCCCATGAGACTTTTCCTGGACTCGACGTTTTTCTTATACCATATCTAAGAGTTACCTACCCCATAAGTCAATTATCACTTTGACGAACATCCTCAACCAAGTTTCAGCTTTAGCTTACAATTTTTGAAATTGTACAATCACTTCAAATGTAGTGAAACATCAATGGATTGAGTAATAACTGAAGGACTTAGAACAATCTTTCCTTTCAAAAGGATTTTTTTTGTTGTTTTGCATATGAAATTGGAAAGCAACCCTCAGATCAACGTGACCCACTAATGAGTCCACGTATTTTAATTGGAATAAATGCTTCTTAATTTCTGTTACAAAAATTTTTAGTGGTTTATCTTTAATTGTTTGGTCTACCATGATCTATTTTTACAATTTATGTCTTAATTTCTAAATTGATGATATTCTGATACAGGTTTAAAAACCGTTCAATTTCATAATAAAATCCTGTTGAATGGAAAGATCCTTTTAAATTCTCCAGTTATTTTTTTAAATAAAAAATTTTGAATGAAGAAACCATCTGGCGAGTTGTACAATGTTTATTATGAATAACTGTAAAAGTTTCTGCTTGCAACTAAATTTTTTCAAGCACTAAAAAAAAAATAAAAATCGTTACAGACCTTTTCTTGGTAATTTTAGATTTCACCTCCAACCCCCGAGTAACATAAACTACAAATTGCGCCATTTCTCTACTCAAAGAATCAGTATCGTTGTAGAAACATTATTAATAACCTTTTATTGTTTTTAATACATTAAAAGCCGTTAATGATTTCTTTTAAGGGTAAAAAATAACACATATGGTTTGTACCTACACATTTTTTTGTTAGGATTCGTCAACTCGTCTACTTGTTTTTTTTTTTTACTGAAAGCCATTGTTTTGTTAGCATATTGTATATACGGAAGAAGATTTAAATCCCACGGTCGGTAATAGATGAAAAAACACCTGACGTTCAAACACCGCATAAAAAAATAATAATAAATTAGAATCGTTTGCCTTAGTTTCGTCTCAGCTTAATGTTTTTGTTTGTTAGTAGTAACGTAGTCTTAAAAAACAAAATGTAAAGTTTCTAAAATTACTTAATAAAAGAAAAAATGAATAAAGAAAGCTGAAGTGATATTTTCAATCATGAAAAACATTTGAAGTGGTGGAAGCTGTGGGGAAAAACAACGCATAAATTTGGAAATATTGCAAAAGGATAATATGCGTAGTGTTCAAATATCATCTACTTTTTATAATTAGCAATTACGTTTATAATAAATTTTATAATTTAGCTGTGCTTCATAAAATCAACATAACCGTATCCCTTTTAATTTCAATTTTCAAATAATTTTTAAAATTATCCTGGAGTATCTGAATGCAGATCTCTTGAAGATTTTTATAGTTCTAACGGTTACTTTTTGTTCTTTTTATATATATTTTTTTGCATAATTAAGTCCTTTCAAATAATAACTTTCGGTTGATGAGTTCGTAACAACCCTTATAGTTTATACTTTAAAGAAATATATTGGCCGGTCCCTAGGGGTACGAATTCGCTCCTCCCCAACAAAAATTTCCAGCCAATACCAAACAGGGTACAGTATAATAGTACAAAAGTTTTTCTAAACTACCATTCTTGGTTCGGAGTTGATTCAAAGGGTTTTAATGCAGGGGTAGAACGGGTCGTTTAGGAACAATAGAATTTCACATATATAGATTTAATGTACATAAGTAAGGGCACATAATAGAAAAAAGAACATGGCAAACAGTTCGCCATTTAGTTTTTCTAGCATGTAGAAATAATCAAAAGTTCTTTTTTGAAATAATATCCACACGAAGTAAATTAAACGAGACTTTTCTTACTTTCAATTTTATGTTACTTTTATTAGCACATATAAATCTAAATTGTAATAAATGTTTATTTGTAAGATAGAATAGTTGTCAACTGAAATGAAAAAATCACACGTTTGAGTACAAAATACGAAATAAATCTTTTTGAAAAAGGAAATACTTTTATATTTGTCGTTATTATATCATCACTTGAATGACGATTTCAGTTAATTCTAAAAAAACAATTACAGAAGCAGATGAACTTGATTTAAATTGATTATGCGTGGTATTTTGTCTGAAAAATGTAAAGAATCCTTTGCTGCAACTGCTTCAGTTTTGTTAACTACACAGCAACGATTAAACCTTAAACCTGAGTACAATTCAAAGCATTTATAATCAATTATAAAACAAATTCTTTAGAGAAATAATATAGGTACAAAAGATAATTGTTGAAATTTCAGCTCATTTATAAAAGCTTTATGGAATAAATATGTATTATATCTACTATATCTCATGGAAGGTTTTCTTTCTTTTTTAAATTTTAGTTTTCAGTGTTTTTAAGGTAACTTTTTATGTTTTTTTATGATTAGTGGAAATCCTAACGGAAATTTTTATTAGTGTCTATAATTGAATAAGCGAAACTTTTTAGGATTCAAAGTTAGAAGTAAGTTCAACTTTTCGTGGCATGAATGTTCGACATTAAAAATGCAATATATTTAGGAAGAATAAATTGAAAAGATGCGATTATGTAGTTAAAAGTATAAAGGTTGTGTGAGCGAATGTTAATACCTATAAGAAAATATCGCCATGAAATCTGTCAAACCCGTTTGTAACGAAAAACTGTCTTGTGTAGTTTTTGTGAGATGAAGTTTTTTAAAGGACCTGGCGAACTAGATCCAGACTCACTACTTTTTCATCTAGAATTTTTCATTAACGACAAAAACCTTGACGCCGTATTCTTTTAATTTACTAGTCTAGCTAATATAAAAACGTATCACGGCAGCTTCGATTTTATGAAGAATGGTAAAATGTTACAGCCGAAAAAGCGACTTGATCGGAATTCTTTAATAAAGCATTTCGTATTTCATCATTAAACATGCTCTTAGTATATATACACTTGCTAATAGTAATACTCCTAGTAAATGAAAAATAGAACTGAAGAAGCATGAACTGTAAAGAACAAAATCAAAAAAGTTCCCAGTGAAAACTTTAAGAAATATACCGTTACACTTTAAAAATTTAATTCTTTGTAATTGAAATAAAAACGTCTCTATTCTTATACCATCTAATAAAATTTAGTACGAACGCTAAAAAGAAATCCTTATAGAGTAAAGCATAAATATCCTTTTTATTTATATATTAGGTAAGCCATACATTTGGCTATGCAATTCCCTTACAAATTTCTAATTTTAATCGACGAAAAACCGACTAGCCTTTTTTTAAATTATCTTTCTTAACAATAAATACTTTGACTATGAAACACTTGCTAAATAATTTATTCATAAATAATATACATCCACTCCTACAAAAACGCTATTCATTTAGTTTTTCATTTTACTTCCAGCGCGCCAAAGACTCAATACGTTTACTGTCTTATAGATTCATTAATAAAATTAAAGAAATAAAAATAATAAATAAACTTATTTAGTCTACTTAATAGGTTTCTGAAAAATTTGGAACATCAACAGATTATATGAACTTGAATATGTGTATGTTAAAAGGAAACACATCAAAGTTTTCATTAATAAGCTTTTTTGGCGTTAAAACTGTTTTACTTTATGTATGCCATGTTATAAAAATGAGCTTATTCAGAAAGTAACAAAAAATCGTTTGGCATTGTAAAAACTTTTTCAATTTGTTATTGAGCTTTTTCGCGTATATTTGAAAACCATAGGTTATAGAATTAAGAAACACCTAAATAGATAAAACCTACGATGAAATTTAATTTACCTATACATACATATCCTGCAGGACGAGATATACATCATACAGGACAATATAAGATTGAGAAAAAGGAACGAAGAAAAGCTGAAAGAAAAGTTAAAAAAGTTACGAACTTGTTTTGTTGTGGTTTTTGCTCATAATTTTCTTGAGAATAGAAGGAGAAGAATTCCTGTAGAAGAGTGATAGCGGACTGGCGGTGGTTTGAGGAAATAGAGGCGTCGTGGTGATAGGAGGCGTCGCTGAAGGAACTGGAGTCGTCGCAACGGTTTTCGGTGACATACGCACTACAGAACATGCTGACGAAGAGCGCGAATCATCAACAGTTGCAAGTTCACTATCCATCGGTCCAGTAATAAGTCATTAAAAACTTTTTCAAAAACTATTTGCGCCAAATTCACGACTTTTTGCGACCCGCACTCATCCGCAAAAATTTTATAAGGGTTGCAGCGTGTAGCGTTAACACTACAAACTACTACAACGAAAGGGTTTTTGTTTTCGAAGGCCTAAGTGGTTTCTTTACCCCACTTCGAAATTGTCCCCACTTCTATCCTGCTGCTTAACGAAAGCTGATTGTACATATATAGAATAATGAGTACACAACTTACTTTACCATTACATACACCATCATTGCTGACATACATTTAAAAAGCAATTTTTATAAATACAATACTAGACGATGTACTGGAGTTTGAAGAAATTATGATTTTAGCTCCTACAGGACATATACTTCAACCACTTTTCTTCCAGACCAACATATTTAAGGAAACTTATGTTGTTGTTATCAAAAACTAAATTAACAATTTTGTAACAATATTAACTCGGTGAGCTTTTCGATAAAGAAAACTTCAACAAGAGGAGATCTCAAAATAAATTTTCCAAAGCGTTGTGATCGGTGAAAACCAATATCAATTTTATTTTCTGTTTTCTAGTTTTCAAAATTTCAAAAAGATCCTACTAGATATACATTTAAAATGCAATTTTTTTAAATAAAAAACTACACGATATACCTACTTGAGTTTGAAGAAATTAGGATTTTGGCACCTACAAGTACATATACTTCAATCACTTTTCTTCTAGAATCTAGACTAATATATTTAAGAAAATTAATTTTATTGTTATCAAAAACTAAATTAACAATTCTGTAGCAATATTAACTCGATGAGCTTTTCAGTAAACAGAACTTCAAGATCTCAAAACAAATTTTCCAAAGCGTTGTGATCGGTGAAAACTAATATCAGTTTTATTTTCTTTCTTCTAGCTTTAAAGTTGTATCTTTGATCAATAATCATTAACTCGATAAGGGCCGAATTTACCTAAATCCGAAAAAGGATCTATAAAGCACACCCGAAAATTTCGGGGATACCATGATTTCAAAAGAAGGAATATTCTTTCAAAGCAATTTTCCGAAGCATATTTATACGGAAATGCATCTTTCTTCCGTATGCAACGCGATTTGGTGGCCAATTCTGAACATATTTTAACGACTCCCTGAAGAAAATATTCCACCCTCGAGAGTTGGAAAATTAAAGGAAAATGAAAAATAATTGGAGAAATTAACGCGACGTCATTATCATTCAGTATTTGGTAACATTTTGTTTGAGTTTGTGTTTGTGCATTTATATTTAACCGTGGTCATTTCAAATGAGAAGGACGAAGGACTTCTATCTAAACATTTTAGATATCTTATCATCTAACATTTATGTAGATATATATGCTGAAGTAACAGTTAATGAATTACAGAAATAAAACACTTACATACAAAGAGGAATCGACGCATTTTACCCACTTTATTTCTCACAGAACCATGTTTATATAATATAAAAAAATAACATTTTAATTCACATCTACAAATTATTTATAGTAACCGTTCTGTACGCTACAATTCCCGATCAACAACTGTAGTACCTATTATTTCTCCTATGCGCATCTTTACATTTCTTTTTTTTTATACGATTTATCTGATAAAAAAAGGTATCACAATTCTGTTCGCCTTTAAGGAGAATTGAAGGACATAAACAAACTGCTGTAAGAAATATCTCTGTATGATTTTTGTGTATGGGTAAAATGATCATTCCTGCCCAACAAGATTAAATAGAAATAAAAATGCTTGGAACTGTACTAACAAAGAGCGAAATAATTAACGTTAATAAACCTTTAAAATTTGTTAATAATATAACGCTCTTATAGAAAATTGAAATCAAAATTTAAAACTTTGTTGTAGTAAACCCATTTGTATCAAACTACGACTTTAGTGCAAATTATAAACAGTAAATTGTGAGATTACTGAGCAGTAAATTATTAAATCTTCACATCTGACTGTATATGTACTTGTAAATTGCATGCGAATATAAATTACATGCTTATAACAGTTTTTGGTTTAATTACTAGTTACTTTATTTAAATACGCTAATTGTATAATTAATTGATTCCCTAATTAATATTTGAATTATTAGGGCTAAAAAAGTCGAACCCACCCGATTATAGCCGATTGCTAGTACGCGGGAAATTTTATTTGAATATTTAAACGCTAAGCATGTTAGGCAACCAATCTTACACTCCTGAGTGTGAGAAGTCTAACACTAACTAGCTTTTACTTATGACTACGTCTTGTGCTAAACTTTCTAATTATTTATAATAAAAGCCAGTTATAACCAATAAACAATTAAAATAACCACTAGCAACTCTCCAAGTCTGTAAAGTCCTATCGAAGCCGGTTAAATTGTGTTTTAAATTAGCGTTATCATTTTTTAAGGGTTGTTTGTGTCTTGATAGCAAGCAGATAACGATATGAGTTTAAAAAGGCAGTACAATTTTATTTATATGTATAGACAAGCAATTATAAACTTCTAATATAATTTTAGCAAAATTTTACCCATTTAAATTGAAAATAATAGTTATTTACTGTAAAAATGTGATACCTTATTACTATAAATATTTGAACTACTATGAAATAAAAGTAACCATTCGACCAGATTTTCTTTTTTAAACAAAACAATTAGAATATAACAATAATCTTCTACAAATTTATAAATTATATATAAATATTTAGTTTCAGTAACATGAATAAACAAAAAATACTTTAATTACTTTTATCTTCAGTGGAAAAATGACTATCTTGCTCTAGCGTGAGCGATACTGAACAAACTAATACATTAACTTGTTCAGGAGATGGACAAGCTATAACCAAAAGATCTTCCTGAGTATATTTAGCTTTTGTTAACGTCTGGTGTAGTTGAATGAACACATTTATAAGATTATTCTGAAAAACAATAGAAATATTACTAAATAATATGAGCACAAAAAACATATATTACTTTTATTGGCTTCAGCAGAATAAATTCTGTTTCTTTATTAGCCAAATATAATTGCATGGACCTTTGTATATCGGGTATTTTTGTTTTAATATTTCTTTGTGATGTATTGATTAATCCAGCAAGAGCCTGTGGTTTTCCAAATTCTTGTTCCCTTAAAGGCACTACATTCTCAGTAGTTTTTGATAGAATTTGATCAGCCTAAAGAATTAAAAAATAACACTACAAGAAGTTTACCAAGGACGTTAGCAGACCTTTTGAATCCAGTTAGTCAAATTTCCAACTAAAAGTTGAACACAGAACGATATAAATGCTTCACAAGACGCTTTTAAATGTTTATCAATTTCTTTTCTTGAATCAACTAAATATTCCTTAACTTTCGGCGTTCCCTCTAAAAGGAACTCTAACAAGGCGTTATTACTGCTAAATGAAAACAATCTATTTCTTTTCTGTATTAAACCAACTGCAGCAGTTTTTATGTTACTAAAATCTAGCGCAACTTCTTTAATGGTAAAATCTGCTTGAAAAGGAGCTATTTGTTCCCTGAGGATTAAGAGGTGCTTAATTTGGAATAATTTGCCATCAATAGTTCCCTAAAATACAATGAAACAATAAATAAGGAAGTCGGAAGTTTCCAACTGTACTTTTCTTGCGGCAATTTGAGTTCCAGCGTCGTCTATAGTTTTAACACATACAACCAGAGCTTCTTGTGCTAACCCTTGAAAAGTTTCTCGATCCAATGAAAAATATAGCCTAGACAGACAAACTAATGTCCTCTTCACTGTTGGATACCACATTCCGTGCAAATCTGCTGGTGAATCTAAGATATGCAATAAAATATAAATAAATACAAAAAAGGTTTTAAATTCTGTGACCTACTTCCTGTATATGACCTAAATTGGCCTAAGTGTGCAGCATTTATTGTTGCAACTTCCTGGGACTCTACAGACACAGACGACATTCGCGAGAGAGTCCGCCCTTCACTTACTTCTTCAGCAATGTTCTACAGACAAAATAATAAACAAAAATATATAAACCAACGAAAGAATTTTAATACCTCCATTTGTTCTAGTTTCTCTGGATATGCCAGGTCACCTGGTGATGGCTTATAGGAGCTTAGGTCGTGTTGGAAGAATACGTTTGTTCTAAAAATAAGACGCTCCTCGACATCTTGCAGCAACTGTCTGATGGTCTCCACAAACTTATCTAAATATTCTAAGAAATTGCGTCAATTTAGTACAATTACAACTTCAGAATAACAAAATATTTACCATTATTTAAAACATAATCACTTAAATGTTCGTTTCGGAGAATGTTGCAAAGTTCTGTTAATATTTCTAAATGGTTTATACCTATTAAACTAGGTCGTAAACTATCGTATAAATTTTGACATATACTGGCAAGGTAATTTCTAAAAAAAAATACACAAATAGAAACACAAATGCAGAGTTAAACATTCATATAACCACCTCAACTGTTGCGATTCCTTTGAAAAGAATAGATTAAAACTAGCAGCTTCATCTTGACACATCTGCATTACAAATAGTCCTGAAGAACGAAACAACATACTATGGTCTTTCTTGTGCTTTATTTTAAGTTCATTTAATGCTTTTGCAACTGCAGCAAGTATAAAAGACCGCTGGGAAAAATAAATTTGCTGACAATCTGTTATCAGTTGACTATAACTAAAAATGTACATGTTTTAATTACGTTAAAATATAAGCTTTTACTTTGTGTTAAAATTTACCTCTCATATGTTTCTGCCTTTTCCTCAATATATTTAAGAATTGTCTTTATTTTCATGGCAGCACTTTGATACTTGCCATAATATAATGAAATTACACTATCTGATTGTGAATTATTCAGGGCCAAAAGGTCAATTTTATTATCTGGATCAGTAACTTCTTTAGTTACTGATATTATTACATTACTTACAAATGATCTAATTAAAATAATACTTTTTGATAATAAATTTTCATACTTGGCAATATATATTTTCGATTCTTTATAATTTATCTAGAATAATAAAATGACATTGATAAAAAAGTTAACGAGAATAACTGAGTTTAACTTACATGCTTGTGAAGATATTCCAAGGCAGAGTGAATACTATTCAAGTTTTCTATAAACTGTTCTGTGCTAATTTGTTCAGTAAAGTTATTTAAATCATCTGAAAGCTTGTCAAAATAAGTAAAGTAATGTAATCTTTCCTTTAAAGACTTCTTGTTTTCAATTAAAATCCTTTGATTTTTTGTAAGTTGCTCACTGACATTATGTAAACTGCATGTCCTTAGCAAAACTTCATTATATTGATTTTCCAGCTCTTGCAAAGATTTTATAGCAAACTCAGTCTGGAAAAATATTAGTGTACTAAAAGAGATGAAAGAAAAAAAAACATTTTCATATTTACATCTTCTAATAGACCCTGAAAATGTGATGACAATTCCTCTATTTTATCACAGCTGGGGAAAAGTTCTTTCAAAGCCTCCAACTTGATTTCATTCTCAACATTCACAAGCTTCTTAATAAAATCTGTGTTGGAATAAATAAACATGTCTTTATCCTCATTTGCCAGTTCTTCTATTAATGTCTCACTCTACAATTGTCATACTAAAGTTTAGAATATAACATTAAAATGAACTATTTACTTTAGTTGTTTCATAGTATTCTTCCTTAATTAAGTCACTTATTTGATACACAATGTCTAATTCTTCCTCTGATAGTGGGGCTAACGGTGATGTTGGAGCTTGCCATTTGGTTATATTATCTTGTATAGCTTTTTCCTTTAATTCTTCTATGTTTTGACTGAAAGATTTTTCATCACTTCTACTGTCCATCACGTTGCTATTTAATACAAACTTCTATTACTAATTGTTTTACTTCATTTACTATAATTAGTAAGGTTAGATGCTAGGACCATATTCTAGACATATATAAACTAATTATTTCTGATCAAATATTCCAAATATAGACAATTACTTGCAAATATCAACTAAATACTTCGAAATACTACAATATATCTAATTACTACAAGAAATATAATTGAAAATATCACTGTCAATCTCAAAATTTTTATCAAGAGGAATACACACATACACTTACCTAATAAACTACACATTCACAAAAAGGAAAATTATACTTCTCAATTACCATTTGATTCTACGTTAAGCTGTTTGTTTATATTTTTTACCTGCATTTTCTAGACATCAAGGAAATTACAGACAAGCTCACATGTAGGTGGAAAATGATCAACCATTACTGAAATAAATTAATGAAAATTACTCACAGAAATAATTTAAAAGGAAGTAAATACCTAAACTAATTAATATGTTGTGTTATAATATAATCTGTATAAGTTTAGTTGAAAATATAATAAACAAATAATAATTTAACCTACAAACTAGGGTGCAAATAAACTGCTGTCACTTAAGTAGGCATCGATAATTCACCAAATTTAAAAACATTTTTTTTTAAATAATTTACTTTAAGAACAATAATAATGTTTTAAATTTATAATCTGAATTGATAGCATTCTGTACTCTTTAATTAAACATGAACGATTCATTGTTACAATATATAAATCACTTTAAAAGCTATAGATTACTTCAGATAATCAAAATGAACCCACCTTCATTTTCTGAAGTTCTGCATGTGATCAAAAGGCAAGGTGAAAGGAAGAGAAAGAAGAGAAAAACAAGTCTCATAACCACACATAACTTGGAAATTTGAAAACACTTGATGGTGAAGACAATCATTATGAATTAGCATAGATAGGAGATAATAAAACAATTCAGTTACTAGGTACACGTTTTACATTATTTTAATACTTATTAGAAATAAAGTTTCGAAGTAGTTGGTAGGTAGAAAGAATTTTAGTTTATCTCGTCACTTGGTGGAGCTAAACGAAAAGAAAGGCAAGGAGAAGGGATCAAAGGGAAAGTTAAAAGATGTGAATAGTTGTTGTTAATCCATATTTTATTTTTTAACATAAGATGGCAAACAATCAGCTACATAAAAAATACCCTGAAAAGGATGAGGTTGACAAAAGAGTATATATTGTATTTGCATCACTTTTGTTGGATTTGCTAGCCTTTACCATGATTTTACCTATTTTGCCATCAATCTTGGAACATTATCGCAATAACGACACAGATGGATTATATTCTTGGCTATCTGGTCATATTAAAAATTTTCAAAAAATTGTAGGAGCTCCTGAAGAATATAATTCTGTATTGTTTGGAGGCTTTTTAGGTTCAATGTTTAGTTTTCTTCAGTTTATTGCTTCTCCTATTTTTGGTAGCATATCTGATGTTTTAGGAAGAAAATATGTTATGCTTTTTTGTCTGGTAACTATAGTTAATTATATTTTACAATAAATATTATTGTAATTGTTTTAGGTGGGTATTTCTGTATCATATATTTTATGGGCATTTTCAAGCAGTTTAGCATGCTTCATACTGGCAAGATTTATTGGAGGAATAAGTAAAGGAAATGTATCTTTATGCTTTACTATCATATCTGATGTTTCAAACACCAAAACTAGAGGAAGAGGAATGGTAATGTTTTACTTAATGAATGCTTCATTTATAATAAATTCAAATGTTTCAGGCCCTTGTAGGGATTGCCTTCTCATTGGGTTTTATAGTTGGGCCTCTTATTGGTGCAGGATTTGCAGTATGGGGCAAAAATAAGGCAAATGATTGGTTTATATATCCTGCACTTTTTGCATTTTTACTTTCTATAAGTGATTTAATGTTCTTTGCATATGCATTCAGAGAAACATTGCCTAAAGTATAAGAACACTTTCAGTTTATCAAGAATTGTAATTACATTCATACAATTATTTTCAGGAAAAGCGTGCTGCTAATATTTGGACTAGTCTGCAGGGTGCTAGAGGTCTAGTAGATTTAAGACAGTTATTCCAATTTAAAGCAATTAATCTAAAACCTTTTGAGCACAGACAGCTACAACAGTTGGGCATTATATATTTTGTTTATATGTTTATATATAGTGGTTTAGAATTTACTTTAACTTTTCTTACACATCACGTTTTTCATTACACATCTATGCAGCAAGGATGGATGTTTTTTGCAATAGGCAGGTGAAAAAATGCGATTCAGAAATGCTCTAAAACTAAGACATCTATTAATTTTAGGATTAATTATGGCAATACTTCAAGGTGGCTATGTACGAAGATTGCCTCCTAATAAAGTAAAACCAACGGCTATTTTAGGATTATCGTTAATTATTCCATCATTTGTTTTTGTGGCCATAGCTAGAAACATTTGGGTTCTTTGTATTGGGCTATTCTTGTTTGCTGTTTGTGAGTTCGGTAATTGTGTTAGGATTACTGTTTTATCTAATATCATGTCTCTTTTTAGCTACTGCCATGTGTGTTACTTGTATGACAACTATGGTTGCTGTTTACGGTTCTCCCAAAGAAAAGGGTACCGTGATGGGTATATTCCGTTCGTTAGGGGCACTTGCAAGAGCAGTGGGACCAATTGTTGCCTGTATTGCCTTTTGGAGTCTAGGCTCTACTTTTACGTATTTAATTGGTGCTACAGCCTTAATATGGCCTGCTTATACATTAAAAACTAAAGTTTAGTCATACTATAAAAATACAGTAAATACGTTTTATAAATTTAATTCTCTTATACTTTCTTCAATGAATCATAAGACTGAAATGTATTTTGTGGTCTTATAACAGTATTAACATCACACAAAAATGTATTTTCAAAAGTTGTCAATCAAGTATTACAAACTATACCAATAAAGTTATATTGTTTTCAAAGTCTTTGGATTATTAAGTACAATTTAACTTCCACTAGAAAACATGAACTTACATGGTGCTTAGAACGTTTTTCTTAAACTAAGTTCCATCCATTGATTATCTGAAAAATAAGCCTGTTTTAATTAATTTTATCAAAATTATTTTATAAAAATGCTTACCATTTCCTAATTTAATCAAAGAATTGTAATTTTCAAATGACTTCATTACAGTTACAATTGTGAATGTTAACTATATTAAAGTTGAAAACGTAATAAGAGAAAAATAAATTTAAACAAAAATTTTTGAATAAATCACAGATAACAATATTAGTAAAATTAAATTTACTATGTGTCTTGTTCTGGTATTTCAATTATCTTCCCTTGAATAGCTTCAATCTGTAAAATAAATGTACAGTTCATACAGGCAATACTTTTACACAAATAATTCAATTAATTGTTAACATTATTTTAATTTGGCATATCACCTTGTTGTTAAATATTTGTAGCGATTTAACAATATTAGAGACTTTTGTTTTGAGTTTTTCTTCCTTTTGAGCTACAAATTTTGCTATCACGAAGTTATAATTCTGCTGATGATTTTGTAGAGTCATCTAAAAAGATACAACATTTAATAAATGCTCATTTTTTTTTTTATAATAATACCTTTAGGTCCTGTTGGTACTGATGTTTTAGTTTAATTAAATATTTTTTTAGTTCACAATTTTCAGTTGCTACTTCAAGGTATTTAGTTTTATAATCTTTTATTTCTTCCTCCATTTGTATAAATTTTTGTCTCAACTCGTTTAATAATTCAATTGTAGCTTTTCTATCATCTTTCATTTTCTGAACAATATCTTTAACAGCTTTTTCTGCTTCCAAAGATAATGTTTTCTTAATTTGTGTTAACTGATGGCTCATAAGATATTCTTTTTGTCGTAATTTTTTATTAAATTCTTCCTTGATTTCTTCACGAAGTTGAACTTCAAGTTTCATTATTTGTGTTTCATAATGAATTTTAATAGTTTCTAAAAGATCGCCCTCTGTGTTTGTACTCTGAGACTGACAGGTTTTTGAATTTCTCTCTTGGATTACTTTCTCAAATTCCTGGGCGACTTTCTGAAGGTCGTTTAGAAGGACTTCTTGTTCCTGCCTTTGAGAATCCTTTTCTCTTAGGAATGCATTTTCCTCTTCAAGCTCCTTTATTTTGGAAAGAGTTTTTGCATCTGTAACACAGACAATTCCAAAGGAAAAGAAGTAATCATTATATATTTTGCTTACCAACACTTTTTAAGTTGTCAATCTGTAATCCTATATCACGTGTTTGATTTTTGTCTGCTACTTGTATACCTCTATCTACTTTTTCCTTCTTTGCAACTTCAATTTTATTTATTTCTTCTATTGCAATTTTTGCTTTTCTAGAAAAAAATCGTATCTCTTTTGAATAATTACCAAAAAAGGAATGCAACACACATACTCATATTCTTCCTTCATTTTATCATGCTCAATGATATCTTGTAGATACTGTTGAATTTTGGTCTTCATTTCTTTATTCTCTGCTGCAAGCTTTTTTAGTTGATCCTACAAATATATTAACGATTAATATTAAACGAATATTAATACGAATATAAAGACAATTTTACATTTAAGTTATTCAGACTGAGATTGCATAATTCAGTTGTTTTTAATTTTTGTATAGTACATTTAAGATCTTCCTTTTCTCTATTTAATCTTTGAAGTTCTGCATTAAGATTAATGCAATCCATTTCTTTTCTGTGCAATTCTAAATCAAATTTTTTAATTTCAGCATTTCTGTCTTGGCATATTTCATCTTTTTCCTGTAACATTCTTTCCAACATTTGTTTATGACTGGTAAACTCATTCTCCTGAAAGTTCAAATTGTAGAATACTATTTTTATTGATTACTATTAATATTTCTACCTGTTTTTTTATTATCTTTTCTAATTTCTCAATTTCAGCAGTTAAATCATCAATTTTATTTTTAAGTTCTTGTTCTTTAGCTGCTTCAGCATCTAGTTTTGGATTAAATCCCTTTTCCAAAAAAGTTAACTGTTGATGTAAGTTATTATTTGCTGTATGTAAGGCATCTCTTTGCTCTGCTACCTAAAAATTTATTTTAATTTAATAGCAAAACAAAAAGCAACCTAAATGCTTTAGTACTTCTTCAATTTTTTCTTTCATCTCTTCAATATTTTTTAATAGGACTTGTTTTTCTTCCAATAGTTGGTTTACTTCTTCTGTTTTCATAACTATAACAAATATTTAAAATATAAAGCACAACTGTAACTTAAAACTATATTAGAATACCATGAACTGTTTCACATTGTTTTAATGCAAGTTTCATTTGCTCTAAATCAGCTTGTAAGCAAATTATTTGTCTTTGTTTTTGATTTTCTAATTCACTCTTTGCTTTTTCAGTTTCTACCAACTTTTTAGAAAGGTTCTCTAACTCTTTTGTACGTGATTCATAAAGAGCCTTAAGAGTATCAGTATAGTCAGCCTCTTTGTATTTTTCCCTTAAGCTGATGTGAGATTCTTCCACAGGGTCAGCTGAACAATTGAGGGAATTCAAAGTGCTTTCGTCATAGTTAAAGTCTCCCATTGCAACATTTAACAAATTTTTTATCTACAATAACAAATATTAACTCTAATAACTAAACACTGAGCTAATTTGCTAATTATAAATTACCTCTTCTTGGCGTCGAAGATGTTCCTCCTCGTCTTCTTCTTCCTCATTGCTAGGATTACGGTTATCCAAATAGAAATCCTGAGGTTTTGGATCGGTAGTCATTAGATATTAATTACAGCAAAAAAAACGCGATAATGAATTTAATATTTAAAAAGTAAAGTATTGAATTTCAAATCTCAACGGAACTCACAAATCGTAGGTTATGTTTTCAAATTTGCTATCTGTGATCCTGATGACCCACAGAAAAATCAGAAATTGTAGTTGCGTTCTAGTTCATTCTTCTCGAACTGATATCACTATCTGCTGATCAGTATTATTTGGATTATTTCATAAGTGCATAAATAATTTTTGTAATGAACATAAATTATTTTTGCTTTAATTATAGTAATTTACTGGAAAAAATGTCCATGTTGGCATGTCATTTTATATTTAGAAGGGGTATAGAAACTTTATAGGTAATGTATAGTTTTATTAGGTATCATAGTTTTAACGCCTTAATAACGATTAATAAGGAATTAATGTAGCATATTGAGATGTAAATAGAAGTACTGATTCAATAAAATATGTTTTTGAACCCTATCTAAATATACGGTAATTTAAATTTACCCTCTTTCTAAATTAACTGTTACGTATAATAACTATGCAGAAGTATACGAAGAAATTTTAGAAAACATTTCTTAGATTTCAAATAGAGGTAAATAAATTTCAATAAAATAATAAATTAATTTGCTCAATGATTACAAACAAATAAGCTGTTATTTGGTAAATATCATTGAAAATTTCAATTAAGTTTTGAAAATACCCAGCAAAGTTAAAATTGCTTTAGAGCACGTATCAAAAGTTTAATTTTCAATTAAAGACTCGAATCTAAGTTATCCGAAGATAAACATAGGGGTTGAACCCATTTCGTAGAATAAGGATGTAGTAGAACTTCTAAAAAATAAATATAGAGATGGATCAAACAAAAAGCTCAGAATGCGAAAATAATAACAAATTATAATTGAAACTTCAATAGCTACTAATTAGTACCACAATGAGATAACATAAATTAGTCTTTATTAATAGTTTTTCAAACTACAGATAAATAAATTACCGTTTTACATTTAGATCCATTATATTCAGGTTGCAGATTTGTATGATGTTCTTTTAAACAACTAAAATTAGAGCGTTTAAGAATATGTTTGCATACGAAAACTGATTTAGTTATCAATCAGCAGCAAAATTTTTGTATAGATAAAAAATGTGAATCGTTTTATATGTTTTTGTGTTTGTAAATAGGAAAGTATTAAGAAATCGAGATACGTGTCCAACCAGTCTTTGAACTGATATCCCTACGATGACAATGATTTAGAAATTCTTTAGGGAAGTTACTTCTTAATGAAAGTTATTTAAAAGTGTTGCCCTTATTTTAGTTGTTTGAAAAGTAAAAATTGAGTAACGGTTACACGTATGAGAAAAGGTTTGATCTGAATACAGTACATTATACAGAAAAAATACATTTATAACAAAGAATTACAGTAAGTAGCGTTATCGTACAAAAATTTCTTCATTTAATCGAAAAATTTGGCCACTTTTAAGTCCTACAAATCGAATAAATACTGCTTTTTTTAAATTATATTGTAAATTCATCTAGTAAAGTTATGCACAGGACAAATAGTTACATCGAGATAACTTGCACTTTCTAAAAAAGTTTATTAAACAGTCAAATACCGGAAACAGTGAGCAAATATGGGACAGAGTAACTAGTGAATAAAAGTCAGTGCCACATTAACCCAGCGGAAGCCCCTAGGCAATCGAAATTTCAAAGTCATCCTTCTCAAATGAACTTCTAATGTAAAGGGATACGTAGAAACGATCAGAAATTTTGAATAAAGCATTATTCAAGTTTCTTTAAACTAATTAGGTACATTTGTAGCATTTATGTTATTATTCCAACATTAAATAAACGATATTTATTTCTAAGAAATTGTTAAAAACATTCAGATATTATTATATCTACCGTTTCAACACAAAGTTTATTATTATAATACTCCCTCAAGCAGAAGGATCCTCCTATTAGATAACAGGGCACTGACAATATATGCTTCTTTGAGAACTTAATGAGATACTTCTAATAGCACCATACTGATAAAAGCCCACATAGAAAATTCAACTATAAATTAGTAGTTATAGTCACTATTATTCTACTACCATGAGCGATAATATTGAACTTTAAATACCGTTACCTAAGATCTTTTTTTTTATTACGTAATTTAATGTTTTTCTCTACTTTACGAATTGAATAGCTTTTTTGTTCGCGTACAATTCCGCTACGAGCTTTTTATGTGAAAATGACAAGAATTGGTTATGACAGGTAGGTAGGTAAAGCATAAATTTGAATAAATACATAATCATATTTTATTTATGCGCTTCTACATCAAAATATGTAATTAAAGTTCCCTAAGTAAGCAACATATTTATTCATATTTTGCCTAGTTTATAGTCAATTCTGATCTGAGGGCAATAACGTGTGCCTTTGATGAATGGTAGTACAATATTAATGAAAATATCCTATATACGTTATTATATTTTAAAAGTATTTTACACATCAACAGTTTTGGACAGATATTACAGCAGGTTCTACAGTGTTTCTTTTTTTTAATGTAATTACTGTTTGTACAACAGCTAACACCGAATTAATGACTTTTGAAGTCCATCAGGGACCATCATTAGTTTTAATAGAATATGTATCTAGTTGTAGTTTACTTCGTTTTGGTGGTATATAGGAAAAGATTTGTTTTATTTTCATCATCTATGTATTTGTCTCTTCTTACGTACTGTTTTAAAAATAATAATTTCAAAATTCGATAATAATATTATATTTTAAATCTTTTTATTTAGTATATAGTATACCTTTTTTCATTCATCCTGAGTACTATTTATGTATTATTTTTAAATAAAGAATAAAGGGAAATACATACAATTACAAATTAAAAGAATGTAAATTGCAATATCTTTCAATCAAAAATTTTAAAGAAATTAATGAGAAACAGAAGACCTTGTTGTTATTATTGTTTCAACACTTTCAGGTCATTTTCAAGAAAGAAATTCTATTGGATGTAACAGATCCATTTTTTTTTTCACGTTTTGGATAGTTAATTTAGTAAACTGTAGTTTTTCAATGCCGAATATAAGACGTTTATGACCATAAAGAGACGGTATTAATAATTATAAAAATATTTTATTAAAAATTTTGGTGGAGGCGCCGGGACAATTTTAAATAAAAGCTATAATTGAGCTTGTATTTCAGGTTTCATTGAAGAAAATTGACCAATCATCATCTTTAACTTAAATTCTTTCTATGTAGACCCAATTACGGACGTTAATTTGTTTTTTTGTTTAATTTTACAATTAAACGACAGTTCGTAATATAATATGTAGGCAACCCAATATGCAGCAAATATTAAAACTAAAAATAACTACAACGAAAATTATAAAAAGTTTTTTCTCACTTAAGAGAAGTTATAAGTGAAACAATACTATACTAGAACAAACCATCAAATATAACATAGAAATAATTAATTACTTAGTAATATCTTGCAATATTTTGTTGAAAACCTTTCCATATTTCAAGTCACAGAATTTCTTGTTAGAATGACCCAAGAGGGTTGAAACAATATTGTAGAGACCAATAAACGTTTTCCTGTTTTCTGTTTTTCAATTTTGATATATTATAACTGTACATAAAGTAGTTTAAATTGAGCATAATTTGAGCGAAAAAATTTAAGCGAAGAATATTTTTAATAAAACAATTGAATCTTAAAATCAGAAATGAAATCGCAGATCATAAATTATTAAACTTATGAGCATTTTCGTATAAACGTGAGAAATATTTTTTATTATTATCATTTTTAATAGCATGATTTGTGTTTTATAAAAGTACATAATTATTACTTTCATCACAAAACCTATTTTATACATTTCTAGATATCACACTTTCTTTAATCTCATATAAAAACGAAATAGAAAATATTATCACTCATTACCGTCAAACATTTTATGGAATATCGTCATATTTTTATGTGTATAACATAGTCAATTTCTTTTATTTGACTAATAAAGTCATGAGAAGTACATCTACAAAAATTTGATTTCCTATATTTGTTAAAATATTAATTATCTAATTTATTATCTATTACTTACTATAGGAAGTAGAGTATTCAAAGATTTTCTTTCTTCTAAAATATGTTAATTGACTTTCGAAAAAATAAAAGGAATTTAATTGAGTCTTATAGGTATAGCGGTAGAGACGAATTGCCTTGGTACAGTTTTATGAAACACCTGCCTCAATTTTATTCGATTGATGTTTATTGGCAAGTTATTATTTGAAAGAGAGGAAACTGCATTACACTTATTCCTAGCTGAGTAACTCAATAAAAGGTATGTAATCAACAGGTGGTTATCGTCTATATAAACGAGAACTTTTCGATAACAACAAATAACACTATACAGACAGAAAAGAAACTCTCGTCATCTGTTAAGAGAAACCAATAAAAATATAATATCTATTATAAATAACGTTTATAGTTTTCCTTTCATTTGTATAAGTCGTGTCATTAACAGCCTTGTCAATGTTATATTTTTGGTATAAGTAACTAGGTTTGTCGCTATTTCATCCCACAAAAGCACGTTTAGATTAAAAAGTAAGTTTTAAATTACCTACTTCTTATAGATTACAGTCTACACTTCTGTTACAATAATGTTGTTGCTCTTATTCTTCTAACATATAGGTGGTTAGTTTTTGTGTTCTTTGACTCTTATTGCGAAGTTTCACTTTGCCTATCCTATTTCATTGAATAAAATTGATCAATATACATTTTTAACTTATATTCTTTCCATGTAGACGTAATTAGGGATGCTAATTAGTTTTTTTTTCATTTTGCAGTTAAACATAGTATGTAGGCAACTCAATAAGCAGCAAATATTAAAACTTTAATAATAACTACATAGAAAATTAGAACGTGTTTTTCTCACTACAGTAACTTTTCTTAAGTGAAACAATACTATCTTAGAAGAAACCATCAAATAATACACAGAAATAATTAATTACTTCGTAATATTTTTAAACATTTTGCAATATTTGGTTGAAAGCCTTTACACATTTTCACTGAGAACTGCTAAAAAGTAGCTTTAGCGACCAATTACGAGCTTTTAGTTACTGTTTATTGTATATCACCGTTTTCGTGTTGAAAGTAAGATATTCCCCATTTCCGTTGCTAATATTTATAATTTTTGAAAACTGCAATAGTAGATACTTGTAGGACATACAGGACGAAACTTTGAAATAAGAATCAATGAACACAAAAGGGGTAACAACTTAAAAAACCACCTATCAGCACAAAAAAGTTATAAATTAAATCTAGTCCAAGCACTAGATACTAACAGACACAAATACAAAAACAACGTAGATTGATTTAACCACCCCACCCACACAACATTATATAAAAACTGCAGACTGTTGATATTAGGTAGTTTAAAACTTATTTCTTTGATCTGAAGTTGCTTTTGCGGGACGAAACATAGGCATGCAATCGTTTGTAATAGATTTAATGAATTTTAGTAGTTTACGTACTTTATCATTAAAAATATGGAATTTGAGTATGTAAAAGCCTCATTTGTTTAATATTTAAACTACGTTATTAAACAGTATATAGTTAGTACGTTGCAAATTTTGAAAAATTTAGTAAGGTGGTAGATTATACGAATCATAATTTGAAAAATTTATTAGCATCTAACTTTTATTTTGGAAAAAAAACTAATATTTTTTTTTCAATAGACTACATAAGTAATATTTTTTTATGATTTTGTTGAACTAAGCCAAAAATGCGGACGGGCTTAAGTATATCATGTTAACTGGTCAACATATACTTTACCCTTACATTTTAAATAAGCTGGCTAATATGCATTAGATTAAACAATCAATAATACTTGCTACCCTTTTGTTGTACGCATTTACACTCAAGTACAAATATTTTATTGTTATAAAGTAAACTAAATGTTTATTTTTGAATAAAAAAAAATTGTAAGGTAAATTATTTTGTAAAGGGTTTCTTGGAACAAATTTACAAAGTTATAATAAGTACATATAAAATATTTGCACTTGAGTGTCGTGGTAGGTACTCATTATAGAATTGAGTACGACGTACGAAAGCATACGATCGCACAAAAAAATATTAATATCATTCTAGCATAATTTACACAATTTCATTAATTGTTAACTTAACCGACAGAACTTTGTTCAATGCTAGGACTTGTTTGAGTAGTCGGATCGCCGTTAGCATGACGGCCAGTTTTGGGGGATGAACGAGAATTACTAGTCATAGATTGCAACGTTTGAGATCTTGGTGCTGAGAATCTCATGCTATAAACTGGCCGATTTGGATCGTTCGCGTTAATTGCCGCACCCAACTGAGACATAAAACCAATTTTGTATTACATTTCTGCGTAAATAGTATTTTATCAAATCGAAACGACATTGAGTTTCATAACTTTCTTTCGATTTATTTTATTGAACGTTTGAGCTTTTAATACTGTTAAAAAAATTACCTACCAGTGTAAACCAAATCAAAAATTTATCTTACAATTTGTTTTTCGATGTTGATATTTTCTGAATTTCTCCGATAGAACGTTAGTTAAGTTTCGAGCAAGTCCATAAAACTTAAGCGCACAAAGAAGGTAACTTTTATGAACATAAACAAAAACAGATTAAAGTCAAAATGAAAAGTAAATAGAAGTAAGGAAACGGACTCAAGCGCAAGTTACGTATATATATGGACTTCGCGACCTAAGTACGCATTTTATGTAAATTGATGTTCTTGATAATGATCGTGTTATGTGTAACGAACCCTTTTTGCAATAAATATTGAATCACGTTAAATTTTTGGTTTTGTAATCATCATTCAGCAGAATTGTAGGTAATTATCTTTTACAATAACGAAAAGAAAAACAGTAATAAAATATTGTGTAAAGACTTACGTGGGGTCCATTTCCTGGTCTGACGTTTTTGTATGGCTGGAAGATGACCAAATAGACTTTAGGTGTGAAGAGACATCCCAGGGCGACTGTAGCACTTATATTCAAACACATGCACATGCTTACGATTTGGACCTGCAGAAAAACAAGTTTTTTAAATATACCATCGTAGCACCATCTATCGGGGAACAATAGTTGTTAACCAACAAAATACGGTAATTAATCGGGGAAGTAGATATGCTCAAGGTAGGATGTAATGATGAATTTTTTGAAACGAATGTGAATAAAAGCAAGTACACACTGTATTTAGTATATCATCCATATTTTTTTTGACGTGGCAACGTCTTATAATTCGATGGAGCCGGCTGCACGCACGAAAAAACATGACTCATGCGGCGTTACCTCGCTCTGAGGCGTTCCATTTAAGGCTTGAAGTGTAAGCGAGAGCGCGGAACGAGCGACAAAGAGGCACAATCGGCCTCCGCGTTCGGCAGCGTTCGACATCTGTCTCTCTCCTACTCGACAGCTGCTATACAATAATAAATTTCCATTTACCTCCTTCTCTATATCCATACAAAATATCTATCAAACAAATAAAATCAAAATTTTCTTTTGAAAAATGAAACCATTACATCAGTATTTCCTTATGACGTTGTCACGTTCAACTATCGTCAGTAAACCGACTTTACAGACAACCGATTTTTTTTTTGTTGTAGCTAATGTTATTCTTTCGTTATTGTATTTTGCGTCGAGTCGGGAATAATTTGAGTCAGTAATCTAGCACATTTGATGGATTGACGAGTTTATTATAATCGTTGAAGACATAAATTATGCAACACAGGGAGGTAGATTTTGTCACTGACGTCTCGACGGGTCCGACGTCGTTATTGAATGGATAATATCGAATATTCTTTTTTCCGGCTCGGTTTTCAACCGAAACGGTAGCGCTTGAAATAATTAAACACTGGGGAGAATAAATGACTTCGCTTTTTTTTTATTTCAGAAATATGGAACATTTGGGAGAAAAATCTGTCATATGTAACAGTCGGAAACAGGTGGTTGGAAATGCGTAGCTAATTCCCCTTTACACGAAAAATAATAAAAAGTTAAATACCGAAAAACTGCCGAGCCCTATCATAGTGGAAACGATTAATCAAAATAAACACCGTTTGAAAATAAAAAATGAGAGACCTAAGACATTATGTCAACCGAATGGACACCCGCAGCCATTAGGGTGGACGGAGAATTTATAGCAGACAGCTTTAAAAATTCGATTCGCTTACCTTGTAGTCGTTGTTTGTACCAAAGTAAATGGGTAGGAAAGCGAGCCAAACAATACAAGTCGAATACATGGTGAAACCAATATATTTAGCCTCGTTAAAGTTTTCCGGGATCTTCCTTGTCTTGAACGCGTACCAAGTGCATAGAATTATCAGAATCATGTTGTAAACCAGGGACATGATTAGGGAGAATGTTGAAACGCGGCATGTTAGAACGGCTGTCAAAGGATATGGGTAGATTTCGCGTATGTCGGGACGTTCAATGATTAACCACGCTATTGCTCCAACCAGCTGGATCGATACAATTCCTGGAACAAACGGGATTTGCAAAAATCGAGAAAGGAAAATACAAAGGTTGAGTTTCTGAAATTCAACAGCCGATAGTCATGATAAGGGACGATCTATTTCATTTCTTCACGAGCCTTTTTTTTTTTTTTTGTTCGTACATATATGAAAATTCGTACAATAAGTCAGTGAAAGGAAAACGTTTTTCCTCCGCACGTGTTTTTGCGACCTCGATTTTCTACATTGGCGACACAATCTAATAATAAGAGGGCTTTCGCCAAGTGTAACATTGACTCACCTAGTGCTATTGCCACTTGAGATAATGGGGATGTGTAAACAGGTCTCTTGATGCTTTTAACTCCGCGGTTGAAAATTCTGGAAATTCGATTTGTTTTCGTGAAAATGGCACTGTAGCATATGCTCAAGCACAGTCCTAGACCTATGCGCATCACAGCGCAAGTGGTTACAGTCGGACGAGCAAGGATTACAAAGGACATTGAGTAACAGCAGAGTACTCCACTTAAAAGGACGTAGCACAGTTCTCTTCCCGATGCCATTATAACTGGTGTGCGGTTATATCGGATAAATACGGCTATTGTGAATAGAGTACAAAGAATGCCAACAGTGCTGAACACCAACGGCACCAAAGCCCACGGATTCATCCAGTCGAGTTCGAGACCTTTTAGTTTTACACAATCGGTTTTATTTACGTTCGGACCGTAACCGGGCTTACAATTTTTACAAGTATCGTTAAAAACGTACGCTTCTTCTCGACATGCCACACACACCCAACAACATTGATCCTACAACGAAAAAAATACATTATTCTCTCACTATTCTCATTAGATATTAATATTGCTATTTAAACGTGCCTGAAAGTTTCGTATGTGACCAGATGGGCATGGACTACTACAAATCGATTTTGGAATCGAGTCCGAACCATTCCAGAACATTTTTGTAAGATCCAATTCCAATCTGTAACAAAACACAATTAAATGCTGTTAATAGGGCTGGGCGATTATTAAATTTAACAATCGATTAAGTATTGATCATTCGATCAAACGGAATAATCAAAAGTCGATTATTTAAGAACAAACAGAATAGCTCAAAACCCCAACGCCAAAACACGACACTAGTTTCAGGTCCCTGAAGAAGGTAACTTTGTTACCGAAAAGTGCTTCGGACAACTACAGTGTCGTGTTTTGGCGTTGGGGTTTTGAGCTATTCTGTTTGTTCTACAACAACCGCCAAAGTTTTTCCAATCTTCATATTTCGATTATTTAAATTAAAAGCAAACGTAAATCTCTCTAAACCAAGAAGCACTTGTGGTTTTATCTTTTATTTCCAGGAAATGTATTATCGTATCTTCAAGTGATTATTTCCGTAATAAACGATTTGAAATAAAAATTAAGATTATTTAAGAAAATCTTTTTGGATTAACTGGATAATTTGCCCAGCCCTGCTTGTTAACTTGTCAAAAATTATTTGTGTACACCCTTTAGGTACGTATTTTCTTCACTGCTTGGAAATCTCTATTTTATTTACAGAAATAAGATATTTTTTTTGGTGAACTGTTTCGTATCAGGGGTGTGGTAGTGTAGGCTCAATCCAATCTATTCCTTAACATTGGGATCAGGATCTTTTATCTAATTCACACTTGACTGCCCAATTTAACCCGGGTAAGCTCCAGTATTTTCTCACAATGTTCGCGGACAGAAACTATAATAGCATATTACTGCAGGAGATAAGGACGATAGTTGAACTGATAGAAGGAGCTTAGCACTTCCGCTGAATTGTTTTACGTTAGATAGTTTCTTAATGACTAGTTAAATATTTGATGATTATCTACTAGGAAAATTCTCAACTAATCAAGGGAAACTGAAGCATTAGTTTCACAAACATCAGAGCAGAAATGAGATAATTTTATATCCTGTTTCTCTTTATTATAAATGCCATTATAACCGGCATCTTCGACTTTTGTTTTTCAAATAAAATCCAAACTTTCTAAAACATTAAGGTAAAATATGAATTTTTTCTCAGTTTTCACTTAACTTCCGCATTCATTTACCCTACTCTCTCGCAGCTTTCATTTTCTTGTTGGTTGTCCATTAGTTAAAGGTAACAAAAATGGAAGCTACAACCAATTATCAATTACATACGTTATTGGGCAATTTATGTGAATAAAATCCAAGAAAAGCCATTAAGAAAGTAAAAGCGATAGATATTGTCATTAATCAAAGAGATTGGTGAAGAAAAATCATAAATAATATCAGACGATACAAAATCTTTATTGTCTGATAGATGCAGACAAAAATAAGTTTACCTTTTAATGGAACATTAAAATTATTTGTGTGACATGGTTAATTGGTAGGTCATGTTTGTCAGATTTCAATTTTTAATATTTCAGAGATAGAAAATTAAAATTTTTTCAAATTTATGTATATATATTATATTGTACTTATGTAATATATTTATTAAAATTGATAGTTATTTTAAAAGGATGCACTTAATTCAATAAAAATAATTTTAGAGTTCCTTGGTCCTTTCTTACACAAGAAATTAGGAAAAGGTACCAAAAGTTTTAGATATTATGTCACAAGTTGTTTCTAACGACCCTTTGGCAGGCCCAAATTTACGTTTCTGTATGGTTTTTTTCTTCAGGAAAGAGTTAGTGGAAACTTCCACAAATCCAATTTAAGATCCGTTTGCTATGCATCATGTTCACCGCCTAGGAATAAATGTGTTGATTTGAAACGAATTAAGAGTCCAAGGCAGTCTGCCTACAATGTGTCGCCAACGGTTTTTCTTTTATTTCAGGCACGTAATGCCAAAGGACAAATCCAACGAAAAAAATTCGAAACAAGAGACACAAAACCTCACAAAACATATACAGATATATGCCTACGTGTATATGTTTATATATCAATTAAACCACTTGATTACATTAAAGGGTTTTGTCAATACTCTTGAAAAAAATTATCCCATAACAACTTGGAGGCTTTTAAAACCCCCATAGTCTTTACAAAAATAAGACAGACGGTCAATCAGGGACTATTTTGGTCCGTGATATAAAAAGCAAACCCAAATAAAACATAAGACAAAAGAAAATAAATAAAATCAGTATTTATGGCATGTTTTACTATTACAATTATTTAATAAAAGAATAAACTTTTGTTAGTATCTGTTGCAGTTAAAGTGTTATCAGTTAAGTGTTTCTCATTTTTTAGAGATGAAAAGGTAATAAAGGTATTGTCCCGTATACACTTAATGTTGATTTGTCCTAAAGATTAACAGTTTTGACGTAGAACCGAGCTAAATGTGGTACATTCCGTTGGTTTTATGAATGGCAAAATTTTGCCTTTCAGTGAAAAGCTTTGTTTTGTTTAACAATGACACACTCACTGAATTATAACCGTATAATGTTGAAAACTTAATGCCTTCACAGCTCAGTAAAACTCAATTACAATAAAAATGCCTCGGAACCAAAAGGGCAACTTTAATCTTTACGACCTGCTAACAGTTACCTTTTCAAACTCCTTTGTACGTTATAAAACGTAAATGAAGTACAAAAAAAAAACGACAACTTCTTAATTTCACTCTGCAACATAGTTTTAAAGATACAGAGCGTTTAAAACTACAAGCCTAATAGAAAATACGACAAATGGCGCTGTAAACGCCATCTGTAATACAGTGCTACATTTTAGGATTACGTATGCTTCAGCAAGGTCCATTTAAATATATGGATATCTACTTGCTGAAAGGCACGTTACCATAATCGAATAAAATAATTCGAAGTGGTCTGTATTCTGTCGAAACTGCCAGACGCGGATCGCGATTATCGATCTTTTTGGATCTCATCAGCGCGTCGCAGCCAGCTCCGACAGAACACAAACCAACTTTTACCTGCTGCCTTAACAACTCGTTTTACAAAATACGACAAATGGCGCTGTAAACGCCATCTGTAGTACAGTGCTACATTTTAGGATTAGGGGATTCGTTTCAGCAAGTAGATATCCATATATTTAAATGGACCTTGCTGAAGCATACGTAATCCTAAAATGTAGCACTGTATTACAGATGGCGTTTACAGCGCCATTTGTCGTATTTTCTAAAACGCGCTGTTAAGGCAGCAGGTAAAAGTTGGTCTGTGTTCTGTCAGAGCTGCCTGCGACGCGCTGATGAGATCCAAAAAGATCGAAATCGCGATCCGCGTCTGGCAGTTTCGACAGAATACAGACCACTTCGGATTATTTTATACAAGCCTAATAGTTTAATAGTATAGAGCAAATGTGAGTCTAAAGCCAATTAAGCATGTTCAGAGCAACAATTACTTCAACTGGTGAACAAAGCATTAATGCCCACGGGTCAACCTATGCTTATCAGAACTTTGAACTAATCACAATGTACCCACACGAAGGTCCATGGCCTGGAAGTAATTCACTTCGGTGGATAGGTAATAATCATGTTGTCAAACAAACACACGGCCAATGCATCCATGTTTGCACATTGTCTAAATAGGAAATTTAATTGATTGGAACAGAGGGAGATTTATAGCTATTTATAACAACCGAAACGAATTTTATTTACGAGAAAATCTAACGTAAAATTTTGGAGAGACACAGAAGAGGTATTTTACATTCCTTAGAAGAATGGGATAATGTCAAGAAGGTAATTGCTGTAGAGTCACTTGCAACTGTTTCCAAGCGCAATCTTCACAAAGCGAGTGCTATGTATTTGAGAATAGGCCTCTCAAGTGGTGCTATGGTGCGGTCTTTGAAGGGGATAACTATAAAGTTGTGCAAATAGGCTACAAGACGTTTAGAATTGCTTATTATATAAGATCACAATTGGAAATTCTCCGGGTAAATGTGCTCTTGTTCGAATAAGTTGCTTTGAACAGGACATTTAATTTACTCCTTAATTCGAAAGGAGACCTGAAGGACGAAGTTGAACAATGGCTTTAAGTGTTTGCTTTTCCCAGTTATAGAACGGCACAATGACGTTTAATTTGCGCCGTATCAAACTTTAACGCGAGTTAATTATTCTAATCCGGAAAATTTAAGAATTAACATTAACTTCCAACTTTTTGAGCGGATTAGGCGGATCGTAAAGTGAATTTTAATAAATGTATCAATTTACGCATTCAATGGTGCGAAGTAAGCGACTGACTCAGGAATGTCGATCCTCTTGTTATAAAGCGCCCTGCTTCACCTGATTGGCTACGGTCTATTAACCAATAAGAAATTAGGTCAGTTGGTACGTGTTTAAAGCTGGCGCCAACTTTGATATGAGGCGGTAGCGGGTGTAGATAAAGAGTTCATTTACCTACTTTAAGGGCTACTACGAAGCCTACAAAACTAGATCGTAACTACATTGGAACCGATTTTCATAAGTTTTCACCAAACTTTAACGAATTTAACAGATAATAAACATTAACGATATCTAATACAAAATAGATTATAGATACGTTTCTGTTATATTTACAATAAAATAAATTAAGAAAATAGAATAGGAATTCGCTGTTTTTTTTATGTTTACTTTTATTACACAGGAGTCATGGGATATTTTTTGCAGCGTGCCCGAATAAATAAAGGAAAATCTTTTGTTTAAAGAAGAATTCGAAGAAGAAGTATGTTATAGAGTTTTATTTTCTGGTAATTTAGCTTTTTATTTTGACTGAAAACAAAAATCGATCTAGGGGTAAATATTTAATGTGAATGTTGAGAGAAATGCCTTTGGTTGCACGGAATGTAACATATAGGAAAAGTAAGTCAAGCGAAAAGGAATCTATACATACGTATGTATTTACATATTATAAGTACTTATAAAATATATGTACATTTCTGCTATTGAAGTTGAATCTTTTACCGCTTGAAGCAGTTTAAAGGGTTCTCAAAAGATACTCAACAACTGAATTGTTACAAACATATCGAAATCCTATTTAAATGAACGGTAGGGTTTGTAACATTTAATCATAAGTCGATATAATTAATTAGACATTATTTATATCTTCACCCTTAACTCTGCGATGTCATCAAAGGTTTAATTGTCTTGATAAAATATCCCGAAGCTTAGTTATATTGGTTATAATCCATCCATAAAAATAACAGTAATAACAAGATATCCTGAGAGAATATTCTCTAAATTAGGTATGTACTTTATACGAAAATCAACTGAACAATTCTCAACCGAAAGTACTACGAATTATCGTTTGAAATACAAAGTAGATTCTGATTCGTCGCCATACTTGGATTGCAAAGTATGCACCGAGGAAAATTAGTTTTGATTAGTTCAGTCATCCACTCTATAGTCTATACTATACCCCCACTAATTTCTTCCCATAGTATAATTTAGAGCTTCTCTTAGTTAATAAATATGCTGTTTACGTATCTATTCATTTACAAATTTTATTAATAGATTAAATTACTTTATGCACATTGAAAATTAGTGTGTCTGTTACACTTCAATAAACAAGGACCCATTAAAATAGTGACTTTTGTAAGCAGTTGTATTTCCTCTTTTCGAATAGGAAATGCATGGTTATTTGGGATTGCTACCCGTTTCTTGGTAATGCTACAAACTTTATTCATGTGCTAGAAATAACGAACAGCGGAGCGAAACTGTGACATGTTTTGGAACGGGTAGAACTGGAGAGAGAGTCATTAATGGTTAAGGGCGAAGACGGAAGTGAAGATTTTTGTAACAATAAAATTTTAAATGTTGCGGAAATCGTTTTATACTGCTTTAAGGTGTTTCAAAACCTAGTCTCAATCCTACATTTTACGAATTTAGTACTTCAATGATATTAAAAATTTAAAAGAGAGACACAATAGAGAGAAAAAATCTTGAAGAATTACAGATAAACATCTCATTAACATGTTACAACGTTTTACAACACAAATATGACTGGTTAATTTATACTCACACTGATTGATCGCTGGGCGCCAGGTCCGTAATAAAGAAAAATTCCAAAGTTAGAAAAATAAACTTAAGACTCTAATATGTATTAATTATTTAGCTTTAGGAAATTAGGAAAGTTTTAAATTTACCAAAACAAAATGACTAATTATTCAGGTAGATACATTAACCAATTGAATTTTCTCTCACGATCAGGCAAATTAACAGTTAAGTAACTACACTGATCGTTCTAGTCAATTGTACTTTTGCTACATGGAATTCCCATTGGAAATTTCTCGATTCCGTAATATCACTTTTGTAGCTCACCTTAAGTAATTGCCACTTTAAATAGATGACTGTTCTTTTTCAGTAAAGCTTTCTGAATTATCAGGGCAAGAAAAAGAAGTTGAGTGTTCTAGGAGAATTTTTAAATAAATATTTCATAAGGACTCATTGAAAAAATAATTTAATGAATAATTAAATGCTTATGGCAATACTAATATCAATCTCTGCCCAGCCTGTTGACTACAACTAAACGCTGTAACAGTTTATTGACTGCAAACTAACGTAACAACTTACTAGATGATTATTTCCTGAACGATCGTTATATGCGGATACATGCGTTATTACGGAAATAAAATGATTATTAACACACAAAGTTAAAAGTGCGACAAAATTCGCAGTTGTTTGCGGAAGTTGATGCATACGTTGATTACCTTTGAAAATTACTTTTTAACTTAATTTATTCACGGACGAATACATATTGGATTTTGCTACTGGTTTTTCCTACTCTTTACGTAGGTATTTTCCGAGAAGAAATGAAAGGAAATAGATATGTTTTCCTATTAGAGATAGCGTACTGGAAAATTTCATCCGGAGAAAATTTTAGCACGTCAATCGAAGCAGCTTCTAAGATAGAAGCTGAGACAGATTTAGGTCGTGGTGACAAGGCTTGCACACAAAAAGTATAAGCGCTAAAAGTTTCTAATTACAAAGATTTATTAAAAATGTCCCTGTTCTAAATATTAAAAACTTGATTTCTAACAGAACGAACTGAAAACAGTCACACTGGAGTGAAATAAAATGGAAATAGAAAACTAAATCTTTTTTTCTAAATGTTCATCATCACGTAAAATTACTTATTGTTTATAAATTTTTTTTATCGAATAAGGCTGAAATTTTTTATTCCTGTAGTATACTTTAAAATACAGATTTTATATTCGGATCGGTGAAGATGTATAGGGTTGTTCGGAAAGTCATTTCGTTTTTTCCCGACAGAGGATTTAATTGTATTCTTTTGCACCCAACTTCACATTTAAGCCGTATAATTTTTATATGCTTTGAGAGCTCATATAGCAAGGCTTTTGTGTGAAAAATTCGAATTAATTCTACGCAGTAGTTTTTGGTTGGTGCCCTTTTAAATATGGAGAGCGATAAGCAGCATTTTCGACATATCTTACTGTTTTACTACAGAAAGGGTAAAAATGCTGTTCAAGCCAGAAAGAAATTGACTGATGTGTATGGAGAAGGTGTGTTGACAGTACGACAGTGCCAGAACTGGTTCGCTAAATTTCGATCCGGCAATTTTGATGTCGAAGATGCACCACGTTCGGGAAGGCCGGTTGAAGCTGATAAAGACGCGATAAAGGCATTAGTTGATGTGAACCGGCGAATAACAACACGTGAGATCGGATTGAGGTTAAATTTATCAAATTCAACAGTTTATGACCACTTGAAAGGCCTGGGATTATCCTCGAAGCTCGATGTATGGGTTCCCCATGTTCTCACAGAGAGAAATCTGTGTCGCCGCATTGACGTCTGCGATTCCCTTCTCAAACGTCACGAAAATGATCCGTTTTTGAAGCGCATCATCACTGGGGACGAAAAATGGGTTGTATACAACAACGTCAAACGCAAGAGGTCATGGATCAAAAAAGATGAACCGGCTCAAACCATTTCCAAAGCCGATATTCACCAAAAAAATGCTGTCTGTTTGGTGGGATTTTAAAGGAATCGTTTTTTTTTTTTAGCTTTTACCGGATAACACAACGATTAATTCGGAAGTCTACTGTCATCAGCTGGACAAACTGAATGATGCACTTCAACAGAAAAGGACAGAACTAATCAACAGGAAAGGTGTAGTGTTTCATCAAGACAACGCGAGACCTCACACAAGTTTGGTCACTCGCCAAAAGCTTTTACAGCTTGAATGGGATACAATGCTACACCCACCATATTCTCCAGACCTGGCATCATCGGATTATTATTTGTTCCGGTCACTCCAAAATTTTTTAGACGGTAAAACCTTCACCTCAAATGAGGAGGTCAAAAACCTCCTCGATCAGTTTTTTTGCCAGCAAAGACCAAAAATTTTATGAGCGTGGAATTATACTACTACCAGAAAGATGGCAAAAGGTGTTGTACCAGAACGGTCAATATATAATTTAATAAAGTATTTGTTTATTATACGAAAACTGTCTTTCATTTCCACAAAAAAAAAAAACGAAATGACTTTCCGAACAACCCTATACATATTTTCTGTAGCATATACGTACGTATGATATCCTTCTACTATCGGATTTGCCTTAGGTTTTCTTTTATTAAATGTCTCCTAGGAAATTTATTTCACACTATCTATATTAAAACGTCAAACGTTGTGAAACGTTGTATCTTACCCGTCGTTGTGGATTAGCCATTAAATGGGTTTTCCACATTGATACCCTTAGAACGAACCGATCTAATGATTTGAGACGTATCACATGAGGATTTTATACATTACGAAATTAAATACAAACAATTAATAAAGGCTGGGCATCACTGTCGGAATTTTAATTAATTCAGTTATTATTTACTATCTATTGTAAATTTTCTGTCGCTAGGAACTGGACGGGAAATATTACAAAGAAGGGATCAAGGGACTTACCTTTCCTTCCAGGACCCGATGGGTACGTAATCATATTTTCCATCTTCGTGTCTTTGATACTGGTATATGTTATAGCTTCCGTAAGCGTCTCCATCGGCATTAAATTTGACCTCTGTCCTTTGGCGACCTGAAAATAAATAACCAAAATGAAATTTTCTATTGCATCAATCCTTTGGAACTAACATCAAACACATTCTGCACCCGAATATATTAATTGCGAGATCAATTTTTAATAAATCAATTTCATTTGTTCACTCTATGTCAAAATAAAAGCAACTGGTGAGTGAAATGGGATATATATAGGTACATGATAATAATTATATATTTGTTTAAACAAAGTTTGGCTAAACTTATTTTTTACGAAATTTTGTTTCACAACAGTTGTTTTAGAAATAGAGAGGGAGCTATACTTTTTGACTACATTTTCAGAAAAATGTTTAGAAAATATGACACTCAAAAAGGTTCTTCTTTTTGTTTCGTCGTACAGAATCCTAAGAATTTTTATGATACCTAGATGATCTAACAAAAAGTTACTTACCGATGAAATTGATCTGTCGAAGGTATTTAAGTAGCTGGGGACCCAACGGAGCGGGCTGCAGTTTCTCACATAGATGAAATGGATTATCACCACACTCGTTTAAGATTATCTGATGAGTTGCATGAGCTGCTGCGTATACTGCATCGACTGAAACAAAAGAAATACTAAATTAAAACAGGGAAATTATATTAAAAGTCAACATCGCGTTACATTTTAACACACAAGAAATGTGACTTAATTTTCTAACGTTTCAATAGGAAATTCAATAAGAAACTGTTAAACATTGAATTTTGTTAAATTATATACAGTAGGATTTCAGTATACCAAATAAGTAATCAATTTAGTTCGCGAAGTAATGGAGATTCACTTTTTTGTGGTAGTAAATTTATTCAGGATGGAAACTGTTTTTGCTCAAGCAGCTAGCTTTTAAATTGATTCCACAAGTATCACAGACAAAGAAGAGCAGGCCGCATTTTTAAATAGATTACAACATTTATTAGCCCAAACTTCCTGAAACAAGTAAAAGAAAAAGCCCTAACAGTATTCCCGCTTTTGAACTACCGCAAAAACTACACACAAAGCTTACTCAACTCGATGGACATCGGCGAAAAGCCTAACTAGAAGCAGATAACCCACAAGCGAATTCCTTCAACTTCATTACAAGCACAATCATTTTATATATTTTAATCTTAAATTACCTAATATATACAAAGATAAAAATTATGAATCGTTTCGTTAAAATTGAATTAGATTGAAACTGAAGTTTTTGATTTTGGAATGAAATATGTTTTTATGATTGTTGGTAAATCAATTTTTCGTATAACAAATTGCTTCAAATGAATTCTATAAGTACATATTATAATTTATATAAACGAGTGGGAAATGCAAATTATTCTCGTCTATCAGGAATATTTCGAAAAGAGTTTAATTAATATTAACGTACAATTTAGTTTTTATTGAGAACAAATTGTATAATTACCAAATTACACTGTAAAACCCCTTCAGAAGAATGAAATTGCTAGTATAAATATTTATCGTTAGTAGAAATATCGAAAAACAAAATTATTAACTATTTGTATGTAGTAGAGAGTACTTATATATGCTCTATTTAGTACTTGTTTTGTATGCTTCGGATTTCAACCGATTTGTCTCATTAATTTACTCCACAATTTTACTTTTTTTATGAGTTAAATTTACCCTTTCTTTTCTTCAAAAAGTTCCTACCGTACTCTGTGTCTTAGACGTGGACGCAAACAGGAAGGTCGTTCTTTAAAAAAGATTATTCTCGTTAACTTTCACGTCTTCCTTCAAAATTACTGTTTCCGCTTTTTTCACACCGAAAGGAAATGTTCCTACGTGGCTATTTAAAGTACTACTGCTATTTTCAAGAAGTGAAATTACAAAAAGACCTTGCAATTACAACATTTCACTGTTAATTACTTCTTGGTTTTACCAGTTACACACAGTTATTTAATAATTTAAATATTAACTTTCGTTGTTACAATTGTGTATTGTTGCGGTCAATCGTCCTGCAGCATCCACATTTGCTACCATAAAACCACAAATTTGGACCTTTGATCTGCATTCAACGTAGCTCACAATTACATTAACTCTACCGTTTTCGACTTACAATTTTATTATTCGTATTCGAACACTTACCGTTTCTTCAATTGAATTGTGAAGCACGTTCTAGAGCGTGATCAACTCGTTAAACTTTAGCTACTACAAAAGGTATAGTTAGTAAATGGTTAAATGAATGCCCAAACTTTTTATTTAAATCAATAGTTTCGTCAAGCTTTCAGCGTTCCACAATTGCCGAAGAGATAGGTACCTATACTTAGGTACTTTATAGTACCATGAAATATTTTGAGGTGCAATAATAATAAGGTTTCCCTTGGTTGGGTTATAATTAGTACAATATGAATGTTTGACGGCAGTTTATTTAACGTGACGCTATAAATAAGGGTGTTAAAACGTACCAGTTGACATAAATATTGTTTACACACTGGAAGAAAATCAACGGAATAAATTCACCTTAATATCGATTTTATGTAACTTAATTCGTAAATGAGATAACTGAGGCACAATACGACTCAGGTAAAGCAGGGAATTGAATTCGTTCCTGCTCAAAAATAGGTATCGGAAAATGGAAATTACTATATAATATCGCGTTTTATCCCCAAAGGGTATGCCATTCTTTACCTTAAGAATATCACAATTGTATTACTATGCTTCTAATTTCTCATAAAAATGCTTGTCGTAGAAAAAGCTCAAAACCTGGCCGATTCAGTCTATATCCTAAAAGCTTAAAGTGTCAGATTCTATAAGAGCCAGTAAAAGTGCGTGTTTCTAACATATAAGCGATCAATTGTGTTCTAATCTACATTAGGCCAAAATAGAAATTCATAAGGTTTCTAATAGTCTTTATTGTTCTTCTCAAAACTCACAACTTATGCGATATCGATTCTATGAAAATATTAATTAAAAATAAACTTCCCAAAAGTATGTATGATTCAAACTAGGTTCGTAAAATTAATTCTACTCTGTTTTTTTTTTTTTGAAGTTTTCCTCGGCATTCACGAAACATCCAAACTACTTGAAAGCATCAGAAAGCTAAAACTTGAGGGAGTCATTTTTCACCGATTCCAATAAAGTCTATAGCATCGAGGGGAGACAATTGAGCCCTGTTTCAGTTAGGACAAGACATTTGGGTAACAAAGTAGCTCGAACGAGAAGGGTAGTAGATACATAAATTATTTATGTGTAGTATATTCCTGGAAATATTCACTACACAACTATAAACGTCTGCATTGTTAGAAGGAATTTTTATTTATGGATTTGGATGCTCCTTATTTGCATTTTAGAGAACCCGCTCCGTTTTTATTCAAAGATAATAAGTCCTATGTATTCTATTCTATTGAAATCTGCACGTTTCTAGACATAAAATAAATTAAGTTAAATTAAACCTTAATCTGCCTTTTATTCCCTTTTCCATAGCCTAATATACTCCAATATTAAACTTTAATATCTTGTGCAACGTATATTAGGTATTAAAGTGTACCTAAAAGTGCAGATCCCTGAATTTTCCCACAAAATATTAGATATTATAGTATACCTAAAAGTGCAGATCCCTGAACTTTCCCATAAAAAGTATTATTTCGAAAGACGCTTTTCTCGGACGTTATTCAACGGTTGGTTGATTATATTTACTGAAAACTGGCTGCAAGGAATTGTGGTACAAAGCGATTCTGATTTATTGCCAAAATTTTTGGCACCAAACAAACCCAATCTTCTTCAGTTGAACCTATCTGGATTATTATTACTTCAGTGCACATTAGAACGGTTTACAGTTAATCTACCTGTCATCTCTATATCCCAAACACCACTTTTTATCATTATTCACTTAATTCACAAGTCTTTATTCGCGAAGAGATTAGGGACAGGCCATATTGAACAAATAGTCGTCTCTTGGAAGACGCCGGAGACACTCTTTCAAAGCTGTCACAAAACAGCATTGACATGTTCAACCCTCTTGATGTCATAGACGATCGTGCAATAAAACACGTTTTAATCGATATTTTTTTTCAAATACTTAAATTAAAAAATTTAACTGAAGTTATAATAATAATCAATAACTTGATGCCCATATATGTATAAGCCCATTACCTACTTAATATATAAAATATGTTAACGTAAAAAGCGAGATGGAAGGAATTTTTTTAAAGTTTTAGGAGATATGGTTTCATGTGACCACCATCTAAGCGTTTAAACTCACTAGCTATACTGAGATAAATTATGCACTGTAAATTTATGTTAACTCATCTACAACAAAATGTATAAAAGAATGGTGAATGCGCCTTGCATATAAAATTAGCGCAACTTAATTGTATTAGGCAGTGTGACGCATTTGGATTGGATTTGTCCCCATTGGAAGTTGGAAAGTTACACATTAGAAGCTGCAGTCAGATCAGTTTTTACTGAATATACTGTATCACAGGACACGTAAACAACTGCAGACTTTTAAGCTTACCTAGATATAGAATTTCCAACAAGTGTGGTAGGTAACGAGCTGAAACTGTCGACTACAGAGAACCTTACAGATGCGGCTAATAGCTTTTCTACATTCAATTACTAGATAGATTAAAGAGGAGGGTTTAAAGTTGTATTTGTAAAGGCCAGTGCTCAAGATCTCCTAAGCCAGGCCAATTATTGACACATTTATCTCTTTACGGCGCATACATGTAGGTACATACATCTCAATTCAAGTACCTGTAAGGGATTAAATTAAGTACTAACTGCAAAATTATTGATAGTGTTTGCGTCATCGACGTAGGTTGTATGATCTAATCCAAAATAAGTAGCTTTAAGTGTAACGTCGAATGGGGTGAACGTAAGTCGCAATTAATATTGAACGCTGCGCGGAATAGGAGTTTTTCTTAACTTTCTGATATCATTTTAGTGCCTTAGAATATTACTTTTATTCTATATGCACCTGCTGTAATATTGTTCCAATTAGCTGATAAGTCACTTCCGTTTTATAGGTACGGATTTATGTATAGTTTGCACTTGATACAGTTTCGACTGTATTCAATTTAAACTATTAATGTCGGCATTGTACCTAGTGGAATTGACTCAGTTACAATACGTGTTGACTCTCTTGTGAAATTTGCTAATGACATCCTGTATTATTCGAAACAATTCAAAGCTTTCATCTGAGCTTTGACTATTAGAGCAACTCTAACCCATAATTAGTTTAAGCCTGTTTAGTTATCTGTTTGCGTGCCCATCTAGCTTTTAATTAAATGTCTAAACGATTAATTTGATTAAGTACAGCTTTTATGGGAAATGCAAACATTTTAGTCATAGAACCTTACAGCTCTACGAATAATAAATATCATATTATTTAACTGGGCCACCGTTCTCAGATTTAGAGCTGAATTGAAAACAAAGTAATTGTGATAGAGTTTGTAATTTATCAAATGTGCGCATATTGACCGAGAAAACTTTGTTGCAGTTTTGGTTTAGTTAGGATTCACTCAAACTGATACATATTTATACGTACATAGGTATATCGAGAATTCACTCATGTAACAGTGTGCAGTTTCAACCAAATAGAATGAAAAATCGACAGAAAATTTCGACATAACTTCGCGAATGAAAAAGCAAAATGTACATACTAAGCAAATTTTCCCTGATGGAAAAGTTTACTGTACTTTTATTTATTATTAAAAATTCATACAAAAAAATTGAATTTCTTTATTAACTCAAGAACCTTCCTTGACGTGTACACAATAACTTACAAAATTTTGTAACAATCGGTTGAATGGTATATCTTCACATATGTGACAAACAAACATTCAATTAGTGTGTATAGACCGTATTTTTACGATATTTTTTTTATTCGCAATATTTCACCGTTAAATAGAATAAAGTGAAAAGAAAAAACCTTTTCCTTTACAGGAAAAAACATTTTTAAGGTGTGAAATTCATTTAAAAGGGTCGCTAGGGTCCTTTTATTCGCCACATTTCTGTTGCGGGAAGTGTAAAGGAGACCGGACACTTGCTTATTTATTTTTTTTTCCGATACATCGCTGAAGAATAGAGAAAACGATTGGTTGACAAGCAGAATTTACCCTATACATGAAACAGCCACCTACTTTCATTACTACCCTATTCCTCTTCACAAAAAGGTAATTAATCAATACGTTGATGTGTCAACCACAAATCCATAAAAGCACGTCAAGATTGATAAAGATAAAGACCTTCCAGCAGATAAAAATGCCAATAAAAAAAATAAATACGTATTTAAAAACAAAATAAACAAGTAATCGTCGTTTAATGGATTTTATTAACAGTGGGACGAGCAAGGATTATGCATAAAAATTAGAAACGTAGATATATTAAAGACATCATAAAAATGAAGAAGTATCATTTGTCTTTCTTTTGCAATGAATGATGAACAAGTCGCTTTTAGAATCGTAACGCATCTGTTGATTTCAAAACCTTTTACAGCGGTTATTTCTTAAAAGGAATTTCCACAAATCTTGTGCATGCACAAGCTGGAGGCTTAAGAGATGTCAGTAGAGTCTGAGATAATCATTTCTAGGCACAACTCGTTTGTTTTACTTCGCATTCGTTATCTACAACTCACCCTTTTACATATGCAACTCCTACAGGAGCAGGATTTACTTGATCTGTTATACTTACTACAAAGTTCTACAATCAAATGCTTGAACGTCAAGAGAAGACAATTTGTTTTCACAGAGAATCAGAAGGAGATTCATTAGAATTCAGTCAGCTGTTTCAAATTTCTTATTCAACTGTTTGAGGACACGATTTTGATGTAACCACAACGATTTCTTTTGCGTCAGAATAATTATTTTACTTATTGTGAAAGATTTGTAAGAAAATCAAAAGAACTTGCAATTCGAAGCCGGTCCTGGACGTGACGCAGCTATACCGATGGAAAATCTAAACAGTGACAGTTGTCGAACGACTAATAACGTAAATGTACTAGCTGAAATCGTCCAATTTTGGATGGCATCAGAATATAGACCCGCAAATTTTTTCCAATTGGTTATCTACGATCTTATCTTGAGTACGTCGATGTTGCAGATTATTAATTAAAGATTACAGTAATAATTCTAACCTAAGTAACTTCCCATCTTTTATTTAAACGTTTAACAGACGAATAATCCTACATTACAACATTATTATATACATAATATTTTTCAACGTTTACATTTCAGCAACGCACTTGCAAACTGTTTTTACTCTATTGTATATAGAATAAAATGCGATGCGGTTTACTGCATTTCCTTTAAGTTTGAACAAATGCTTTGTACTTCAAAACATTTCTACATAGATCCTTTACTGTGAGGTATATAAATTTTCATTTTCTTGCTTTGAGTTGAAAAGGAGCGTTAGTTTCCAAATGCCGAGTTCTAATTTTTTTAACGCCACAAGCGAAAGAAACAAAATTGTTTTGTAAGCAAAAGTTGTTTATTTTTAATTTAATGCAAACGATAAGATTGCAAGGCAAGATATAAAAGTTACCTGGTGACCTATTCCTGCTTCAAAAGAAAATATACTGCAGAGGATTTAGTTTGTCAAAAAGGACAGCTACCTTGTTAAGGATCTAAAACGAAAGCTAAATAAGTTAGCCGAGCGAAGTACTATTTTTAGCTCAAAAGATAAACTTGGTTAATAATAAATTACAGCTGCACAAGACACAAAGTAAAAGAAAGTTAATGCATTTTAATTTCCTTTTTCAACAAACATTTCAGAATTATCTTTTGAGTTATTCATAAAGCACTAACGTCATGCTTACGTCAAAAAGCGAGCAAAACACCCTTATCTATAAAGGGCGAATGTACATTTGTTCAAATAAACTAAAACTGAACAGTTAATTATTTTAACAGTAATTTTTTCGGTGATGCATTATTTATTATTAATTAATTTCACCAGAATTGATCCTTTCAAAGGACTAAAACCATTTGAATGTTTAGACAAGCGTACGTATATAAATTGCATACTGTCTGTTTTAATTATAAATGCGAGATAACGGAAATCAATCCATTTCAAACTGTGTTAATTACTATCAGTATTTAACAAACAATAATAAACCCAAAGCTCAACCAGAAGTTTATTAAAATTATATATTAAATTAAAATGACTTTAAAACACTGTCAGGCATTTAAAAAACAATTTAAAGACACGTTAGGTATTTTTGAGGTAGATAACTACAAAAAACCATCATCATTTAAATTATTTAGGTAAGGGAATCAGAGGGTTAAAATTATATTGTAATATCACTTTAGTTACCACACTGTAAACATGCAAGTTATTTATTTAATCAATACAGATAGTCCCTCCTGTTTGCGTAATATCGTAGTCTAACCACTACAATACCAATTAGCTATTGTATATTGGCCGTAAAATGTTAATTAATTACGTAATTAGATAATTAAACTCGCCTCTGGGCTGCATGAACAATAGATACCTACTCTTAAATAGAAAATTATTATAGCTAGCTACCGCATCTATTTCTAGTAAATTTCACAACAGTTGTAAAATGAAGTACGTACCTAATATAAATTGTAGTTTACAATGAGAATATTTAAAAAGATTTTATTTAGAAACTTTAATAATAAAATTAATGGTCGAATAGAATCTTTGGTGTAGTTTGCGTTCCACTTACTATTATACCTCTTTGTTCGGTGGAATGCGCTCATGCTAACGGGAAACTATAATTATTACTTGGTGCAATGTGAACTTAGTTTGATTAGTACATATAAAGTGAAGAGGAACTTATTAGGGACTTACCCACAAACGGCACCAGCCCTTCCTGCTCGTAATCAGTTAGAACTTCTTCGCCGGTGCATTTGTTTGTAGCATCGGCTTCGAAGCTGCATTTGTTATGTTGACTCCAGAATTCACGAAACCAACTATTGCGGCAGTTAATTACCGTTCCCGTCGTTTCATTATAAATATTTCCCGAACTGTTGTTGCAAATGTCATTGTCCATTTTCGGACGAAGCGATAGATAATAGCTGTCAAATTCTGGAACAAAAACATGTGTAACGAAATGGTCATATTCAAGGACTCCAATTGAAACTAATGGCGAACATTTGGCAATACTAAGCATGTATGTATAAATAATATGAATATCGAAGCCGATTTCGTATAAATAAAGGTCTAATCGTATCGGAATACAGTAGTAGGTATAATTAATTCCAAATTTGGTCGAATGCACCGTTAAAATAGAGAACTTGTCGAAGGCCGATAATAATCGAACGGTTATTTGTTGCACTAGCTAACGTGTAATCGTTGCACAAATTGCCCAAATTTGTGCCTCCGCAATGCTCAGACATAAACTACAAATTCGCTTTATATACCTACAGGAAACACATTATTGTACTCGTTGAGAAAACACAAACGTATTAAACTTCCTTATTTAAATAGCAGGTAGCCAGAATGAGATAAAATTACGCTTCAGAGTTTCAGGACATATCTCAAAGTGCTTAAACAAACGAATTTATAATCTCATAATAATATATCCCGGAGGATATGAATGCAGTATTACGATGTTATATGTATAGGGCTGCGTGGTGAGAATTCCGAACCAGATTTTAATATTTCAAGCACCTATTTCAAAATCGGTAGCTGACTTATTAAAGGGAGTGTATTTTAACACGTAATACGAAATTACAAATATCTACTAAGCAGCAAATCAATTTCGTGATATTCTACATTATTTAGAAGCAAAAAGATTTGTAAGAAAACCAGAAGAAGTTGCAATTCGAAGCCGGTCCTGGGAGTGAACTGGCAATGTACTATATAAATAGTGATGACAACTTAGTAGCTAAACCGATGAAAAATGTGAAGAGTGACGGTTGCTTGCTAAAAAAAAAAACAAGAAATACAACACGGATGCTACTAAGCACCAGCTGATTGAATACGGGTTGCAACATCGTCTTTCCCTACCAGGGCCGGACTGGCCCTTGTCTGAACGTTTTCCTCGAAAACGGTTGTCTATCGAACCACCAAACATTTACTTAATTTTCTTGTTTTATAGCGCCCTATCACCTCCTGCAAGCTTGCTACTTATTTCAGAAACACTCTGTATAAGGTAAGTGTTTAAGTGTTCCTTTGGGAAAAATCGTCTCCGAGTTCATTTGGGGAATGATCATGAAATTCCGTTCCAGCATGTACCTATCTGTGACAAACGTCAAAAGGCATTCCATCCTAATAAATCAGCGGCAGTTAGTAATTTGACTGGAGGGTGCGATTGCAACCCTTGTTCTCTCTAAAGCAGTGGTTTCGTATTGTAATGTATTTTATATCTGCTTGATTTGAACAATCACAGTCTATGACATCTTTGGCATTTTGCCATTCTATTAGAATTTGATTGCTCTGCAAATAAAAGTTCGTTCTGTGGAAGTCGATGCAAAGTAATGACACGCGTCTTTTCATGGAAGCCAAATATTCATCCATTTGGATTTTCGCTTTCGGTCCATCTGATTTACAGGCAACTGAAATTGCGGTCGAACCCGACTTTCACAAATAACCATTTTGTGGTCAAAACCTTCCTAATTGCTATGGTAATTTACCCCCATTTAGCTTTTTACTATATTCATAAGCTTACGCCGAAAATAACACACTTCTGAGATGGTAATAATCGACGAGGAGAATGCTAACAAACAAAAGCTGTGCAGAACGGATTAAACATTTACGCATATGTAAGTTAATTTAATATCCAATACAAATGTTTAATCATGATTTTTTTAATATTGATTCCAAAAGCTTCTATCTGAAGAAATGTAAAGACAACGATGGGGTGAACGATTTAATACCTTACGAACAGCTAGAACTCGTCTATTTCTTATTGATTTTCATTCTTCTACCATTTCTAATACCTCCTTGTTTGCAACATTTTCTATTCACGGTGTCGTTAGCATCCGCCTATAACACCAGCTCTCAAATTTATTTTGATCAGCGTTCGATTATACGTCAAGATTACAGTATTCATACATACACAGGTATAATTCTTATTGTAAATGCAAAAATCGAACATAAACTTCTTCAATACTGCTGGGCGAAGTTTATCCCGTGTAATAAAAAATAATGTTTGCCTTTCATAATTAATGTAAATGTGTATTAAGGGAAGCGTGTTGCTAAAACTTCCGTTTATCTTCTAAAACATTCCAAGAATAATTTTAGTAAAGTACGGAAGAAGTAATGACAGCACAAATAACTTGGAACTTTGTAGAGTCAAAAGAAACGGCGAAACACATCTCTGAAATAAAAATTTTCGCATAAGTTAATCCAAAATTCAGACGCATTACTTCTAATTATTAACAGTAGCAACATCACCCGATGTTACTGTATGTATGTGTGTGTATCTTCAGTTGGATTTTCTGCGTTTCTTTTACTTTTTATATTATTATTTTTTTCCCAAAATTATGATTACATGTCCCTCGAAAACTGTGTGCAATAGTCTCTAAAAATAATTGACTTAGCCTATAATCAGAGAACATTGGAAGATAAATGACTTCAGCTGGGAGGAGACAATGTAACGAAAACGATTTCCAGTTTTCGAGGCTTTTTTCAAAGGTAAACCATTTAAAGGACAAAAGAGGTGTATTAATCGTTATAATGGTAACACTCTTTGCGAAAAGAACGAATTTTGTCTAGCTGGCAAGATAAATTATCAACTCCAGATAGGGAAAAATTCCAACCAAAATGCAGCTATTGTTTTCGCAGAGGTAGACACAAAAATAATACGCTAGATGTACGTACGTTTTAACATTATATAAAACATTTTACAGAAACTGTTAATATTGAACATTAACGTGAAAATTCATTTAATTTTTATCTCGTACAAATTACCTCAAATTAATGACGAAAAATTGTTGTTGCCTTCGCCCTCGTCGAGAATCGAACCCGAAAAAGTACGTTTTGTCGTTGTTGCTGCTATCTCTAATAGCTTTTAGTGGTCCCGTGTTCAATTCCCGGCGAGGATGCGACATCAGCAACAACTTTTTCCCATTAATTTGAGGTAACTTGTAGTAGTTATGAATGTAGAGAAGTGTTAATTATCTTCGAAAATTATAAGCCAGAATAAAATTTTACTACAACAATCCGCGACTATTATTACATATATTCAATTTCAACAAGTTATGGAGGTAAATACCTCGATTCGTTAACTAATTGTAACAATTCCGCTCTTTACATTTTGAAAGTCTTCATTTTATTAGCACGGCATAGATTAATTAAAGAAAAGAAAAGCTCAACTGCTTCTAGCAATTCAGTAAATTTTACACTTAGTTTAGTTCGTTAACAACTGTTTTGATAAAGTGTACGGTTACCTGTTTCATTATAACTGTACACAACTCTCTCTTGAGAAAGGGTGCAATTATTTCCGAAAACCTGAACGTCATTAATTTTTGTTCTAATTTGCTACTTTCCTAACTAGAAGGCTTCATATTACAAAGAACAAACCAAGAAGCTAATTATACTTTCGCCGAGCACAAGACAAAGTATTCAATATATCGCATCTTTTAATAAATTGCTTGCGCTCTGAACAAGCCGAATCTGTATAAGTTTTATAATTTTCCGTCCCGAAGATACGTTTTGAAATAATACGAAATTCGGTTAATAAAAATAACTGAACACTGCTGTGGTATCAGATTCTATTATAAACGCGAAATTTAAAATCGCTTTCCGAGACGCAATGACGCCATTTAAAAGTAAGGTACCAGGTCGAGTCGTTTTCAAATGGTTGAACCACTTTAGCTGCTTCCAAAATCGATCTTATGTCATCTGCAGACTAAAATATCTCTCAATTTTCCACTTGAAATCAAATTTTTGTTTGAAGGAAATAATGACATTGCCTGCCTAATATGCTACAATCACCAAAAACGCGGTTAAAAATAACTAACCGAGTTTATTTCATATACATATATTTTTCTAATACAAAAAAAAATCAAAAACAGTACAAAGACACCCTTGTCCGTATAGAAAATGTCTATAGTCCTTTGAGTATCCTTACACTGTGTTATGATAGGTAAAGACATATGATAGGTAGCATTATCGACCGAGCGGCATGACCTAGAGGTTTAGACCATTGCTCAATATTCCGGAGGACGCCGATTCGATTCCGGGTCCGTCTGCCTTGGTCCAAGGTTTTCTGTGGTTTCCTTGGATCACTTAGGCAAATATTCCACAGATAAAATCATTCATTCTCTTCTGTCTTCATTTCGTCCGTCTCATCTTTCTCACCCGAACCTCACAACCTAACCATTCTTAAAGGGGACTGAAATGGGCCTTCTGCCCTATAGTCCGGAAGGACCGCCCGATTACCAGCATTAGTGGCTGGTAAGAATGAAACACCCAAAAGAGTACCATTATCGTTCGAATCGTGTTCATTTTATTGATGCATGTTTATTTCTTGACAAGGAACTTCAGTCTTACGATTGACAACCCTATGATGATGATGATGATAAGTAAACCAAAAAGAAAAATATTATTTACTAATAATGAGTGATCTCCAGGTGAGGGTCTTCTCTTTGAATAGGCGCTAGATGAGAATTCATTAACTCTAATACTGTTGAAGCGACGTCCCTGACAGGGTGAAGGGAACGAGAATTTGATTTATTAGAATCGCGAGGTAAAAAGCCAAAAGCATAAGGATGCTTTTATTATAAGTAGACTAACCGGACAAGTACGTTATGCCCTCTAGCTTCTGAAATAGATTAATGTGCGCCAAAATTATCGCTTTTTCGTGAACAGCAAAAACAGCTGTTGGTTCACGACGGAACAAAAGAACACAACCAGAGCCTGCTGAAAACTCATTGACCGGCAATTACATCACAATCGAACTATTATTTTATATGCTCTGCTGAATACTTTCAGCTGAATCGTTTATTTCATCCACATATTACCTATTATTATTATTATTACTTTTACTACTATTATTTTTGGAAAAGACCAAATCAAAATTAAATAAAATACCATCATCGTCAATGCCTAATAGTTGTCGTCAACTTCAATCCACTTGAGTAATGGCAGGCACGAAACAAGCAAAGTAAATTGATAATGGAAGGTGTAATTTTCTTAGAAACAGCCATATAGAAAATAAAGTTAGTAGGTAGTTACTGAAAGGAAATACAAAAAATATATATGTATGCACGTAATCTCATCTCCTTCGTACTATTCCTATGACATAATTAACAAAGATTGGTTTATTTCTCCAAAGGAATACTGAAAATTTTGTAGTCTTAAACAATTTTGGAATTAAGGAATCCTTTACAAATTTCTTCATAAGAAAATCCTACGCAAACATACAAGTAGGTAGACCGTTTATAATCTTCACTAAAGCACAGACAAATTCTTCAAATCTTCTTCTGTAAAACTGTTAAACTATTAAGTACCTTCAGGTGTATTAGAGATTGGGTAGTGAACACAATACACACATTACAAGTTTTGTGGTTTATTACACCCTTAACCCTGAAATTACTTTATTGATCCATTGTTTGTAGAGGTAATACAAACAAGATACCCTAACCGTATGTGTAAACCTACCTATGCTAAGGTAGTTTCTCAAGAATTAAATTAAACATATAAGTCAAAGGAAAACAAGGGTGTTTACTTTCTCAAGCAAGAACACGTCAGGACGAAAATATGTCATCCTTTAAACTGCTAAACTTTAAGCGCAAGTTAAAGTTTTCCGGAAATACGTAGTTCAACATCTTCTTCAACTATCACGTAAAGAATTAAAATGACTCAAAAAACAAACAGCGACGACAATGTTGAACTATACACAAAGTAACGTATACTTTTGAATGTTTTGATTCCAAGGAAATCCAGGACTTTTCTCGATACTGTGCAATCGTAATACATACAGGTATTAGAAAGATGATCTTCTTTACATAGGTAGCATATGCAATTGCTGATTTATGGCGTGAAATTTTTCAATGGGTTTTATATCTTTTACAACTGCAGTGATACGAGGAGACATATCTAGGCTATCAACAATCCAATTTAAACTTGGAAGTTAATCCTCGATGGATATATTGCTTCAGTCGCAAGAAGTTGGCGAATGTCGATGCATGCCTACACAATAAGTCCAATAAAGTGGATTCTATAAACTGGTGAACTGTTAAAATTTTATGCTTTGATTATTATTCATCAAGCAATATGGTATAAATATTTTGAATTCCATAAATAAGAATTTCCATTTTTATTTGACTAATACATATGGATTTATATAACGATATTCCGCAACAATTTCTTTTATTTGTTTCTGGCATTTGATTGTTATTCTAATTAATAATTTTGGAGTCGTCTCTAGCAGTTTAGATTGCAGAATAACGCCGAGGAATTAAATTACGTAATCTGTGCTGAGTGAGCTTTAACGCCATAAAATGTGCCTACCATCTGGAAAATGAAGAACGATGATGATAATAATCGGTGTACTGCCCTCGGCGTTCAAATCATTGTTTGTTACACATTGTTAGACATGAAAATGTTGATTGCTTTCTATCAGTTATGATAATAAGACACATGTCATTACTTTAACAGGCAGAATCAACTCACACAAATACCTAAGGGATGATATTTGACTTGATAACCCAAGTCTTCTCCTTCTGCGTTTTAGTATAATATAATCATATCCAAAATAGTTCGTAGTAATTGCTTAAACAGAGATATGTCTGTATTTGGATTTCAGGCTGTTATCTTCAAGAGTTATTGTTCTCTGACGTTTCTTCAGGACTTCGTCCTTCAACGAAACAACTGCCACAAGTATCGAAGCGTGAAGACTCAAGACGATGAATCAAAACTCAAGAAACAAAAAAATTATTTGACCTGTTTCTTTCCGATATAATGTAGTTTCTGTTTTTTTTTTTTTCGAAATTTGGCCATTCTTATCTAACCACCATCGTAAAACGAACATTTATTAGAGTTGTAAAAAAAGTCACTGAACGAAACTGGGTCCGAAGCAGTCGATGTTTTTGGAAGCATTTTAGCTAATATATTAACTTTGAAAGGGTCTTCGGCGTTTTATAGACCTTAACACGCGAAAATTGCTGCAGTAAAGCCTACTATTACAACATCATGAAGCTTTTGGCTTGACGAAATAAACGTCGAATTGGTTGAAATGGATGGCAAAGCGATTAAATGTCTGGTTTCTCTACTCCGTTAGGAAAAAGAAAAGATGCCTGTAAGTGATAGGGCATCTGCAGTTTACATTTCCTAAAATTCAAAGTAGTAAAACTGAAGTCTTTCAGCTTTTATATGTATATGATATTTACATAAAAGAAAAGAAATCGGTTTACATTTTATCTGAAAACTTTGCTCGCACTGTATACCGTTTGTAATCGTAAAGTTGAATTTTGAGGGAGTTTTCTCAAAAGTTAAATTCCAGATTACCAAGTTAGAAGTGCATAATAAATTTCCTAGGTAGCTTCAAATGTTAAGTAAAAAAGTAAATAGTAATGTTATGGGTGCCTACTTCTAATACAATAATTGTCTTAAATTTTTTGTCATACGTGCGAGTTTGTTATAAACTTTAAAAAAAAATAGCGTCGATAGTTGTGAAAGTTATGAAAACTCAACAACTTTCCCTTCCTTCATTGCATAAATTAACCCTTTCAAATTTCAAATACCAAGTGTTTTGTTCCAACAAAACACTGTATCAAAGTTGCATCAAATTTTGTCTATCACTCTTACACGTATTTTATGTTGATGTTTTCTGGAGGTGTTCCCATGCCATTAAATAAAAAATTAATTACAACCAATGTCATTAATTACCTTTAATTGCGTTTCTATGGGGAAGAATGGTAATAGCTCCTTCGGCTGCCCATTCTTGGTCCCGAACTGGATGAACTTTTGCACCCCATGAGTCACTGCCAATCCACAGGAAATGCCCGGTAGAATTAGATCGGATAGTGGCCTGAAGAAGCTTTCTGAAACGAAAAAGAAGACAAGAAGTTTAAATTCTGCGAATGAAATAAATTTTTTTAGTCAAAACGTAAAATGGCAAAATCTTCTGGCGACGTAAGACCTTGATTACCTTTTTATAAAAAAAAAGGGAACGATCGTGAGTTACGTAAACTTGAAATTCCGCAGTTAAAAAGTTTTATTTGCAAAGTTGTGCTGAGTTACTTACACATAATCGAAGTTGAGCAATTTGTAGTAGTTTAGATGATGCAGCGTAATCCACAAGGATACCTCGTTGCTTTTGTCTTAATCGAAGTTTTATGGCGGTAATAATGGAAATTACGCCCTAAAATCTGCTCTCAGGGCATGAGGTTTAACGAAACATAACTAATTTGGTACAATTTTAAACCGGTGACATTATTTTCTCATCAAACTTACAACGTTACAAGCTTGATTTCAATGGCCAAAAACAAATATATTACTGACTCAAGTTTAAACAGAAGAAAAGTAAAAAGTAACTGTTCGACTTTTACCCAATAGTTAATAAGTAAGTAAATCGTAATGATTTCTGTTGTTGTATTTTAAATTTAATTCTTTTATTTTGTGACATTTTGTTTCGTGTGAAAATTACATATTTGATCTTTCAATCAAAGCAATAACATTCGCTATTCGACGATGTTCTGCAGAAGATACATTTCTAATGAAATTTCTCCGTATAAGTTGGAGGGTTGAGAATAAAATAACGTTACATACCTTGTGTTATCTTCATCGACAAATAGAATCACGGCTCGGGCGTGCGGCTTTAAAAGTAGTCTATCTATTATTCGATCGAAGTCTTCCGTTTTCGAATTTCGTAATATTTTCTCAGTAACAGCTATGCAGATCCCAGCCTCCACTGAATAGGAAATAAAAGATGCTATCCCCTGGAAGGAAAAATAAGTTATATTCCATTTGCTTTTACTATTACTTAATGTAAGCATAGTAAAGTAAGTTTTCTTTACGGAATTATGTTATAATGGAGGTATAATAGGGAAGACTGTTGTTCAAATGAAATATAAGCTGAAAAAAAAACTTTTAAGGTTTCGGGAATTCTTTTTAAAATTCTGGTCTGAAGTATCATTTTTCGGTCTACTCAATAAATTCGTTTTCGTGAAGTTGTATCAGCTGTCAATTGAGACAAATGGTGTAAACCAATGAAGGTGGAAGAAACTTTGGCCGCTCGGAAGGGTGTGCTTTTTTTTCAGATATTATTAGCTAAAAAATTCAGTCTCATTTTTGTAGACACCATTTACAAATACTTACTTCTGTGTTTCAACAAGTCACAGCTTCTACAGCTTGTATTTTGATAAACCCAACGATAAAAACACATTTTTAAAAAGATAAGATGCAATTTGAACGCCGATGTTAATAAAAAAATCAATTTGGTTGGAGCCCTTAAAAATAACGGCTCTTTATGTGTAAATTGTCCTTTATTAGGAGCGCAAATAACTCGCGCCGTAATAATATCTAGTTATATATTCAAAGTAACGATCACATTATTATTTCGTTCCGTTTTTCGTCCTCTCGAATCCACTGGAGCGAAATATAACAAGTTCTTGAAGCAAACGACTCATTTTAATAATTTATTTTTTAAATACCCAAAATGAGTCTAAAGCCAAAGCAAAATGGTAATGTCGACATCAATCTTGCTTGTTTTTCTAATTTTCTCCTACTAAATTTCACTTTTATAAACTGCAAACGTCCCAGGATTATTATACCAATTTTTCAATATTATTTATAAATGTTTATAATTAAACTAAACTAATTTACAAAGAAGAGTGCTTTTTGCTGTCTACTTTCAAGATGCATTGTAATTTGTTTTTTTTTTTTCGGTAAACCTTTTGCAGGATAATATTAAAAGAGTTCCTTAATATCTTGTGCCTTTAAGGATCATCTTTTTGTTGCCACAACATTTATATTGTACTACAATCGGGCATACCACACGTGTGTTAACAAGTACACTGTCGGTTGTTATTTCGTCAAGCCAATTAATGCGAAGGTCCCACTCGAGGCCGAGTCCTGAGGGAGAAATACAATGGTCTCTTAAACACATGGATTGGTACTATATTTACAGTAGGTTCTTTTTTTTTTTAAATGAATATATAAAGGTTAATTCATTCTACTACATTTTTATTGATAGTTTTTTTTATAGAAGAATGGTAATGTTATGAATGGCTAATGTAGTAAATGTTTGTTCTAATGTCGAAAATTAAATATTCATGAAGGCAATTATTAAAAAAATTTACTGAAAATTTTGGTGGAGGCGTCGCGACAAACAAACTAAATGTAGTGTAGGTACCTAGTCATCTAATTGTTTGTTTCAATTCTCTTTAAACATTAATAGAACACGTTTCTATAATATGTTTTGGGGTAGGTCTTCGGTTTGTTTCGCCCTTGAGCCCTGAAGATGTTCCGCATGATCGACTATGTAACATCACAACTTTTTAAACTCCTCATGATTGCTTTTTAGACACTTAGATATCGCAGGGGTTAAATTAAATTTACAACAGGGATTGAAGGGACTTTTAAATAATTCCCTGCACTAGTTCGTTGGCAAAGTATCAAGCAATTAATCTTAATTTCAGTATTAGACAATTCTCCTCTCTAACGCTGGTTCCATTTAGATAATGGTAGATATTCAATTTATTCTGTCTACGAATATAGCTAGGACTACTCGATTTTAAAACGACGTGTTCGGCTTTATTATCAGTCGGATCATTAGGGCAGAAAACTAAAATACTTCGAACAACAAAGAACCAACATTCCTTATTTTCGAAACTTTTGTGAAGTTTTTAATAAATCAAAAAACGGTCTGGTCGACTTGTACCTGTCTATTGTTTTATTATAGAAGAAAAAGCTTGTGAGACAGCTTCATTGTGTTGAGCTTTTATTGTAAACTGTGCAGACTGAAAAGCACTAAGAAGTTCAAGTTTTCCGATTATTATCAAGACAATTTTAAATCCCGCTTTTCAGAAACTTGTCATTAGTTTTCAACTTAACAGCTTCGGGAACATTATCAATCGATGCTGTGAATATAATGGACGACCGATGAATAAAAGGACAGAGAATCAAAGGAAAACGTATCTTTAGGTAAATTTAATACTTTGCTACCTTGCAATAAATTGGTAAACATATGAAGGTAGCACGAGCATAACTGCAAGTTAGATACAAGTACGTCAAACAAACGAAAATTTTTCTAAAGAGTTCGTCCTTGCTAAGAAACGCAGCAAACATACAATTACCGAAATTTAACTTTTTAATGTAATAAAATTAATTAACGTAAAGTGAAAAAAGAAATTACAAATTCTCTACACTGAACAACTTTGACGCATTACGTTTGTAGGTACGCGAGTATTTGTAATAAACTTCAAAGAAATATACGGCTTTGTGAATACCGAATTAAATTTCTTTCTTTTGTGCCTAACTCGTGGTGCGCAAATAATATAAATTAAACACATATAAAAGAAGACATGTCAAGTGATACTTATTCCTAAAGCCGCTAGGTAGGCATATGTCTACGTATATTACACCAGAAATCTTTGTGAAGTCTTCTCTGTTTGCACCATTGAAAAATCATTGCCTAAAATTTAATAATTAGTAATTACGTAAGGAAGAGATATTGACAAAACAGTACTGTATGAAAATAAACAAAAGTACTGGCGTGCAAGGAAAGAAAAAGTAGGGAAAGAGCTAATATAAAGATAGGAGACGAAAAATTAGGAGAAGTGACTGATTTTAGGTATGCAGGAAGTCAGATAAATCAGGACGGAAGGATTAGTAGGTATATAAAGCAGAGGCTAGCGTAAGGTTGAGACGCCTTCAATAAAAAAGTCACTTCTATGCTCGCGAACGGTTAATTTAGAAATTCACAACAGATTGTTAAAGCTGTATGTTTGGAGCGCGGTGCTGTATGGATGCGAACAGAGGACTCTATGGAAGTCAGTAATAAATAGGCGAGACAGGTTATTAGGACATCTTCTCAGGCATGAAGGTCTAGTGAGAGACATATTAGAGGCAGAAACGGGAGTTAGAAGGGGTCGAGGTAGACCTACATTAGATTACTGTTCACAAATAGTTAAGGATGTGGTTTGTTCTAGTTTTAGGGAAATGGGAAGATTAGCTCAGGATAGGAAACGTGGAGGTGCTTGTCCAGCCAGTCCTAGGACTGACGACCTTATGATGATGATGACGATAAATTACGCACCAAATTGACTAAACTGGTCTTTATATGACGTCGACACAAACAAAGGCGGACTTATTACGATGCGTTGAAACGTTGAAACGTATTTTCGAATAGTTTAAAAGCATTTTCTCATTAACATGGTAATAAAATGCCTCTTCGTTTTAACATTTCATTTCGAGGAAATTGTACAGGATTACTGGTTGGCGCTACTATTTGCGAAGATGCGCTATCGTTTCCTAGAATACGTTTCACGTCATATTACTAACACTAGAATAATCACAAAATTGATTTTCCTCACTAGATATCCGCACTTCAAAAAAACCGCGTTAGTTCTACTACTACAATCTTTGCATCATCTATTAAAAACCACAGTCAGTGGCTAATGTGAGCTTTAACTACAAGTATTTTTTTCTCAATTCCCCTCCTACTTTTTTTTTGTGCCACATTAAAGCGCGAGTACTGTAGTTTGAGGAAGAACAATATTTTATAATACACAAGGGCAAAATAGGGTTAAATAATACAATCCTCCTTAATTCCCCTATATCATACATTCCCATTACTTTGGAGACCTCAGCTCTGATATTAACAGAAATTTCTTGCCTGGACATATTCGTTTCGTTATTCATATTTGAAAATTTATTTATTTATTTATTTGCGAAAGAAACCAGCATCCAGGAATTTATTTAGTTATCTACTAATTCAGAAGTAAACGAATTAACCACGGTTCTCAAATGTGTTTCCGGCTATAATTTGAATAATTACTCGAAAGTCTAACATTCTACTTGGCATTTCTAATTTTGTGTTAACAAGTTTTAATTATGTCCTCCGTTTAAACGGTATATTACAAAAGTTTATGGGCGAACAGTCTTTCTTTTATTCTTGGAAGTAAATGATGCAGAAAAGCACAAGTACATCATACTCAGGTAATTAAAATGGAAAGTTCCTGCTTAATTAACTAGTTCGAAACGTCGGCTAGATTAGACAAGGAAACAAGTAAACTTCAATAACTCTGCACTTCAACCAAACCTTGTACCTACAGCCAGCAAAATATCCAAATTAATATCGTACATCTAAAATTAAATTAACAGTAACTTTTTAATTACCCCCGAAACACTAATTTCAATTCTTAAAACAGATATTAAATAATATTAGATAAAGAACAGAACCTTTAAGGGAAAAGTTCATCGCAAAAAAATGATTTGATCATTTAATAATATAATGTGCAAAACATTGTTTTATTCCACTTTGAAGTAACAAAGTCGGAGGGCGATATGAAAAATGCGGAGAGTGAAAACATCAAAGCATTTTGTTGTTAGACATTCAAAAGCATTGAAGTGAAGAGACCGATTTCATAACAGAGAAGGGCGCAATAACGTTAGAACAGGATTAAATATTCCAATTTCATATCCCATCAACCAACATTTTCATAAGCTACAAAGAAATTGGTCAAAGAACTGCAGAAACACACTTACAACAAGCTAATTCGTATCTTAGTGTTCGTTAAATTCAGGAACAGGAGAGGATCTTGCTAGATCCTTATGGAAAACTTTGGATTCTGCTAGTTCTCGACGTGTAGATCAATAGTCTCAAAGAGTTTGACAGAGGGCGATTTTCTGTAAAGATCTAGCAGGGTCCGTTATTTCCCTTTTTTCCTGAACATAATAAATGTCCTATTAAGAGATTTAATTTGTTTCTTGCTAA